AAGATCAATCCTGGGACATTTATGTATTCACTTAATGAAAGAAACTATTGGTACTCCCTGCAAGAATTGTTGGACAGTTGAATTACCTACCTCATGGCCTACAAAGACACCTGTCACAAAAAAGCACCTAGGTGACATATTTAATCACCAGTACAAAAACAGGTGATGATATGCAACACAGACGTGTTCTCCATGCAGTATGTGACATCGTGTTAGGTGTTAGTTTATGCACTGTTTTCCCGCACATGAAACACACAAACTTGGATTTGGCAGAGTAATGATGACAACTATTTTCATCCAGTGTTCACATTTGCTTTCTTGCCGTTTTGACCCCATCATTGGGCAATTTCGGTCCTACCATTAAAAAAGTTCACATTCCGAGCTGACTGCAATGATCTATATTTGTTCATCCATCATATCATGCAGCAATTTTTAAGCTAGCTTTCTCACACAAATTAAACTGACAAGCAAACAGCATCCTAATTTAAGGAACATCTTCAAAAACACTCCTGGGGCCTTTAGGTATTAACTTAATGAAAGAAACTTCGAGGCATTCTCTGCAAGAATTTTGAGCAATCCAAAAATTAAAGTGAGAACAAGTCAAAGCTATATAAAATGACCATATTACCTCCGTCCGGCTTCCGGAAGCATGGAGCCTGCCCCAGATGTAAATTAATCTAACCTTTAGGCGGAAAGATAACACCAAACACCGCCGACGCCCGCTGTCTGCATAGAGCAAGCGCCTAGCAAGGCTGAATTACGTGAGCATTTCTGTGCTGCTAGCCACTCAAGGCCCTCAATAATAAGAGTAGTTTTAGCACCATGGTGTCAACTTCACCTTCTTTCTCTTTTCCTTTACCATCTTGGTCTTGGACCGTCTCGAGCAATAGCTAAAAACCCGTGGAAAAGCGGCAACACCAAACAAAGCTGAAATGGCCATGAACGGAACTGCGTGCGCCAGGCATTTTTCTTTTTTTTTGTTTAGACAGCTGACGGCCGATAATTCGGACGAAATCCCTTCCTGAACGGATGATCCTCTCACGGGAAGGGATTTCCTCCGGCGCACGATTCGAATCAGCGGAACGGTGCGTGAATAGTGTGTACAATGTCAGGCAGGAGTGAAGAATCCACATAAAATATGGTAAAAAGAAAGCGAAATAGGGGCTTGGCATGTGCGATTAGACAATGTCAGGCAGGAGTGAAGAATTCACATAAAATATGGGGGAAAGGAGTGAAAAATTCCTCCTCATAGGGTGTTACTTTACACCCAAAGTCGGCAATTCTAGGACACTGCAGTAGAGTGAGCAAAATCTGGGAGAGATCGGTTGGTTGGAATATGTTGGTTATGGAGAGGACGGCTATTTTTACTGTTCAGCTCTGCTCGAACTTATGTTGCGAAATCTGTCTCTGGTTCAGACCTGTGACTGGCGTACCCTGCTCACTCGTATAGATGCCAAAAGTTTGGCGTGCGCCCGTTGCAGACGCAGGTTATAATGCCAAATAGATAGGCTTAAAACAGCAGCCGTTCGCCAAAATGTTTGTGGAATCTTGGTCCTAGCCAATACTTTTAGCACCAAAACTCCGTCCGTGAACTTAGCAGCTTTCTATTTCAAGCTGTCGATAGATACTTCGGACTGCCAGAATTTAGCTGAAAATTGACAGGTCAATAAAATTTGACAAATGCATCTTAAAATTCAAGACAGTGAGCTGGATATGCAAAAGCTTGCGAGATGAGGTATGCCCAAAACTTAAAAATTTCAAAGACTTGGGCCGTGATCTACGGGAACACATTTTAAACTCCGTCAAAAGGGTCCGCTCTAGCTGACCTTGAACTTCGACCTGTAGAATCTCGGGAAGTTACTGACCACCTGCCCAGTAAGGTTGCTTCCCACCTTACGCTTTCAGGATGTGAGATTATAGTCCCAATGCTATTAGCATACCAACTTTTAGCCAGATCGCCAGAGCTTTGAACATCAATGTACAGCTTGATATAAAACTGCTGCTTGTTCGACAGCCGTCCCAAAGCTTGGCTTCGGCCGGGTCAGGCATGCCATAGTGCCCAAGTTCCCGGCGCTCCCAGGCCGTGCTTCTAATGGAGTTAATCAAAGTAAAATGCCACCGAAATAGCATTTTGCATACGCATGCCATCGTGAAAAATTCAGCGCAAATTCCGACCATTGCAAGGGTGATTGTAGGTCTAGATGAGTTCAGGCTATTAGATGCATTGAAAATATGTCGTAAGAAGCAACGTTTGATCACTATTTGAAATAATGATAAAAGGCTTTCGAAAAGATGCTGCAGCGGCTCTAAAATTTGGTTATCTAGTACCCAAGGAAACTTAACACGCACTCGTGAGTGAATCAATTTGTCCCCCCCCCCCCCTCCCCGCGAATGCTGATTCGTTTCCGGACGGCGCGGCGTAGCTGCGCCAAATTTGTCATAACTCAAGATAATTAAATAGCAGATCGATTGGCATGATATATTTAGATGTTCCTTGTAAGGTCGCTGATCTTCGGCAGGTCAAAGTCAGACCATAGATTCGGCGAAATCAATTTCGAAGGAATCGTGCAATGTGATGCAAGAACGGAGCGTGAGACAAAGCCATACATGATTGAGACACTTTCTTAGGCAGCAAAACGACTGAATGAACAAATCCCATTCACCTAGAGTCAGTTATAAAAGTCAAACCAAGGGCAGGGCCAGCCACTTTAATTACCCTACGGTTTGCTGTATGGGGTAGTTTCTGGTGGTCATTACAAATTGATTGATGACAGGAACCGCATTATAATCTTTCACGAGCTTCCTTAAGTTGAGAATAGGTCACTGACCTAAAATAACCGGGTCATCATTTTGTTTTAAGAACATATTGCATAGAGAATGTTTGTCTCTCATTCAAACGCAAGACTCAAAGCGGGCTTGTATGATTTTGGTCATCATGATCTCCGAAAGGTCGAACAAGGTCGCAGACCTTAGATGAGAATGTGGCCAAACGTGGGTTTAGAACAGGTGTCTAAATTTTGGGTCACTTTAGACACATACGTGAAATTTGACCTTGTTTGAACTTATTTCACCCAAATATCATGACGTAGGAACCTCAAACTTGAACGTAAGTGAATTCATGTGCAGGCCTATACACCCTGTAAATTTGGTATGTCTAGCTCTCTTAGTTTCTGAGATCTTAGAGGGGTTAAATTGACTCCCTTCTGAGCGAAGAGTATTCAACTGGACACCCATGTGCGTTTTAATAAAAGCGCCGCCACAGACTAGCCACTGAGCAATTAATGCACACCTATTTGACTGGCAGTGAAAGCTTTGCGCCGACCGACATAATTATTCACTGTTTCGCGAGTTAGACGGAGGCGGGGAGGGGTTATCAGTTTTCGTGTCCTAGCAAGCTTCCTGGAGATGGTGACCATGTTTGTGGGACGCGCGGTTATGGTGCGTAGACGGCAGGCAAAGCCTCACGACTACATGTGGGGCACAGTTGACCTGGACGCAAAGGTTCCGGGGCAGCTCTGTGGGCCTCGATGCGGACAACATAACGCATTGCTTGTGCACTGCTATCGACCCCTTTGATATATTGCTGTTCCTCCACCTCCGGCATTTTGTAGGCACGTTATGGTATGACATCGTGTTGCAAATCTCCATCGTATTTATATTGATCTAACTTCTATTTTTACATGCATCTGATGTATTGCAACAAATGCGCCGAAATTATTAGTTTTCTCGGGGTTTAAACTTTGCATATGGCTCGCATCTCATATACGCAAGGTAGCTTATGTAGCTTGTATTCAAACACGTAGATCGCTTCGGGAGGCAAGATGTTTATATCTACCAAAGCTGGTTAAGTGTCATAAGCCCATGAGCAGCACTAGCGCCATCTTTAACGCAGGTGTTGGTACCAGTGCGTCACCTACGTTAGCGTTGCAACGCCCCTGCAAAAAGAACTTGCAATTTGGAGGCAAGCTTTAAATTCCAGAAACCACACCCAGCGTGGAAAAGACCAGAAAAGAAAAGACGTTTGGCCTGGCACAGAAAGCTTTTAGCCGCCTGTACCTTCTTAATCTGCCCAAAAATTGGGACCCTTATCCTTCGGACTTACAATACTGTGGGTTGCCAAGGAGCCCTGCGGTGACGTCACGACGTCGTTGCCAGATAGCTCTTTTGTTGGGGGGGGGGGGGAGGGGGCGAAGCGGGACGAAACCATGTTGCTATTTAATAATTAAAATTAATCGCATACATAGTTCCGGGCCGTGCCTTTTGGCCCTAGCTAGATTCGTCAAGCTGGAGAAGCCCCAGTCAACAGTGGATTCAGAACGTTGCGTGTAGAGGGTGGGGTGCTGGGGTGCCAAAGTTCAGATAGGTGGCCTGATTTAGAAACTTATAGGTGTTTCTGCTGTTACTCGTGTTTTCGAACAAGCCGCTCCTGGTGAAAGACGCTTAGATTTTTCGTCAACGTCCAGAATGTCGTGTTTTTGCACAACTTGGGACATCTCCAATGGGTTCGCCCTTGGTTTCAGCCACCAGCTTTGCCAGCCGCCCGCGCATCTTCGGAAGGGAAGGGGGAAAACCCAAGGACAGGGCATGGTGCGCAACTTGTTGAAATATATAAAGCCGACATACATCGCAGCTGGCACATGCCGACTCCAGAGCGATTCCAAAACTTCCCTTCCTCTTATCGGAAAAGCAGCACATGAGCTCGCCTTGTGACAGTTAAATGTGTTCATTTACTCTCTTAGATGATTTCCAGGTGCGAAAAAGAAGCTTAAAATGCAGACTCAAGCGCCATTATAGATGTGGGTGCGTGCGTGCGTGCGTGCGTGCGTGCGTGCGTGCGTGCGTGCGTGCGTGCGTGTGTGTGTGCGTGTGTGTGTGTGTGTGTGTGTGTGTGTGTGTGTGTGTGTGTGTGTGTGTGTGTGTGTGTGTTACTTCCCGTTCTTGTACGAAGAGGTCACTTCCCACTGCGTGCCGCCACCAAACAGCAATAAAATAACGATAAGTTTATTGTTCTCGTGGTCAGAAGCCAAAAACATCGGTATCATAGCATTGCCTGGAGTGGTAAAGTACCGACAACATCCACGGAATGGGGAGGTCACGTTCAATGGGCACAATAATATATGTTTATACAAGTGACCACAGGGCATACACCCTACTACAGCCGCGCCGGGCTGCATGCACCAGTGAGCCCGGACCGAGCGCGCCATCATGGGCTCCAGGCCGTCATGGGCTCCGGCGCCGGTCGGCGGGCGCGCTCACAGCGGTCGGCCCCGCGACGGTGTCTTGCAGACGGCGCCACCATCGCCCCCGCCCACCCCCGGGCACTCTGGCCGACGACGCGCCGCACCCCGGGCAGCCGCCCGCTCTACTGATTAAAGCTTAAACCAAACGGCTCCCTAGTACTGGGAGGGCCACGACAGGCAACACCAATGGAGAAATTACCTTCTCACCGGTCAACAGGGCGACGGGGCGGACGCCGGCGGAGGCTGGCGTCCGCGCTCGGCCGATATTGCATTTCAATACAGGGGGTTCGCACACCACTGCAGGCACACAACCAGGCCCCAAACCGGTGCGAGATGAATAACCGGGCCCCGAATCGGTGCGAGGAGGATAACCAGGCCCCGAACCGGTGCGAGGAGGAGAACACAGTGCTCACACGCTGGGGGCGCGACTGGGGGGCTTGTGTGATGTCAGGATCACGCGGTCGGGGTGGGACCTGTGTCGGGCGACTACGCACTGGGGGCAGGACCGGTGTCGGAGGTGCACTGGGCACACATTGGGTGGGGGCGGGAGTTGTGTCGGGTACGCTCGCGCTTGAGGACAGGGCCACCGATGAGGCTCCCTGGGCACACTCTAACGCATGACTCTCGCCGTGCACACGCACACGGACACGCACACACACGCAAACGCACATGCTCAGGACGGGCCGCGCGCATGCAGTCATGTACATAACAAGGACCCACGCATGCGTGCGTCGGGAACGCGCACTCATGGGGACTGGAACGCCGGCGCGGTGTCGACAACACGGTCCCGTGAGCACGCCAAGGCGGGTGGGCGGGGACGCCCGGTCCCGGCTGCTGCCACGCCGCCGCCGCCAGCCTGCCGGACGTCACCCTCACCACGTAGCCGCGGGCCGTCGGCGGACCGCGCCGCGCACCGTATCACGTGGCTGTTGACAAGCCCGGGCCGCGGCCTCAGGGGCAGGGGCACACGCGGGTACAAAGATGAAGGCATTCTGAAAGGCAGGGTTTACTGAACACCATCCCCTACGTTCGTCCGCCAATACATACCAAGGTGTGATAACGGGCTAGGAAAACACGTAAAAAGTAGGAAGCGGTACGTCCTCCCTCTAAAAATACAAACTTCATTGTTGGTGATTACAGGCTGTACACTAAATCCGGCCTGGCGTTGTGTGGAGAGCACGCTGATGCCGGTGACACGGCTCGGCGCCGGCGCCGGCCGGCCGCCTCTCTGGTATTGCTATGCCGTGAGCAGCCGCGGCCGAGGCGGGGCCGCCGGCCGACGAACGCCGCCGGCAGAGGTCACACGGCTGTCTCGTGGTCGTCCGGCACCACCAGCTGGAAGTGCTCCTGACCTGGAACCGGAGGTCAAGCCGTGGGAGCGTGCGATCCATCAGCGCCGGCACACGGCGGTTGGGGCGCGCCGCCTGTAGCTGACACCGATTTACGGGCTGTGACAGCTGGAGGCGTGACATTATATCCAGGCCAGTTTAAATCCGGCAGTGTTGGCGACTTATGGCAGCTTTGATCAAATCCGCCCGCGAATTTGTCTGTTATGTGCGCGCACGCTCTGTGAGCAAACCCGAGTCCGAAATCAGAGCATCCAGACGAGTGCCACAACTTCTCCATCGGTCGTCACCACACACGGAGAACCACCGACGGCTGGTTGGAAACGGTGTCAGGCAGGCATGCCAAGTTTGCGCAGCTGGCTAATAATTAATCAATTGTGATTCGAAACTCACATGCGACCCTAATGCATACTGTAAGTCCTATGACAAAGAGTTTCAAACTCCTCAGAACACAGACGCTTAAGCGCTCACGAAGTTAGCGTCCTTGGCGTTATTTCTTATCCGGTTATACGAATAAAGGAGCACATTCCGGGGTGCTGACGTCCACAGCCAAGTGACAGAGCCACTTCGTAACAGTGAACGGTTTGAGCGGGTATCCTAAACTTACTCACATAATGCCATACGCGACAAATTATTCTTGCCGGGGCCAGGCTTGCCCTCACTCCCCACGACCTTCCTTCAGGCTAGGGCTCCTCAGAGGCAGCCAGCTGGCGCCACTCGGCATCCGCCTCGCCCGGCGCCCACTCACTCTCGAGGTAGTCGGCCAGTTCGCGGTCGTCGGCCTGCAGCGCCAGCAGCCGGGGCGTGTTGCCCTCGCTGTCGGCCAGGGTCAGCAGCGCGCCGGACGCCACCAGCATCGAGCAGATGGTGCGGCGGCCGTGTAGGGCCGCGCAGTGCAGTGCTGTGTGACCCCTGCCGCAGGAGGATGCGTCACGGACAGGGTCACGCAGCAGGTGGTACGCAAGGCCATCCGGCAGAGAAACACAGCGTAGTGTGTGGAGGCGGAGCCAACACATAGCACCTCACAATAGCGCGTGCACAACAACAGGAAGACAAAAAAGACAGCAGTTTACACGAGATGACCAGCGGAGGACCGTGCGGACCCTGGATGGGATCTTGGACATCACCGCAGCGCGGACGCCACTCCCCAAACAACATCACGCTGTTTCCACACCGCCACACGGCGGCTTAAATGACGTCACAAATCAACTTTGACGTCGTCACGCAGCCCTGAACAGCATCACACGTCAGCTCCGGTCAGTCACGCAGTGGCCCTGAACGCCACAACAAAGCAGCTGCAGCAGCGCCACCCAGCGGCGTCTGGTGGCCGCGCGGTACGCCTGGGCCGCGCCACAGCGGCGTCCGGCGCAGCCGCCGCCAGCCGCTGCCCGCTCACTTGTCGTTGTCGCGCATGTTGACGACCGACGAGGGCGCGTTGGCCAGCAGGTAGCGCACCACGTCCTTGTGGCCGGCGGCGCTGGACAGGTGCAGCGCCGTCTGGCCCATGGCGCTGATGGAGAACAGCGACACGCCGGCCGTATGCAGCTCCTTCACCTATGGAGACGGCGCAGCGTCAGCTCCGCGGCGCGGCGCGGCGCGGAAGGATGGACCGCGCCGCTCGCGTCCACGCAGCGGCCGCCAGTGCAGCAGCCGGCAGCGGCCACACAACCGCCACTTTCACATCCTGGTTTAGCTCCCAGCTGCGGCGGCTTCCCAGCGCCACTCAAGCGCCAAACGCTCGCTTCCGGGATCAGGTGGGACGCCTTAAAATGGCGGCCACGGTGCGGTGGACCGGGACGACCGCTGGGTGTGCGTCAGATGAGTGTCCTGCCCTTCTCAGGCGGATGGCTAGCCCGTGTCAGGTCACTCACGTCGTTACATCGTTATGGGGCACACGCATTTCAGGTTATCACTGGTAACAACCGTGGTATTGGCTTGATTGCCGCGAAACGCCGCGAATGAGTGGTTTGATGCATCTCTTTTTCGCGTATTTCCAGAACGGCACTGTCAGGGAGACAGCAGAAAAATATCAATAATGTAGTCGCCATGCATGACGGGCACGCACTTGGCACGCTAGTTTGTCAGACGGCTTCCAGGTGGCGCCACTATGCAGTCGTAGGCCACGCGCTGCTGAGCGCGCTTCTGGCAGCACAATTGTTTTCATTTCATTGTTTTGACCCAGATAAAAAACGTAGTTGGAAGATGGGGTGTTTTGGTCACGTGGTCCGGGATTTAATAACATCACCGGACGAGTACTGTTTGCATCTGTGTGTCCGCTGCGAGAAGAGAACGTGGAAAGCAGGGTTATTTGGTTACATCGACCGGTCACTAAATCGTAAAATTCGAGCCGAGCGCGCAAACAAAGACACATAAAAACACATGCTGTACAGAATCGCGCACGCGCAACATCAGATCAATGCGTGTATGATCTGTAAGGACGCTATCGTGTTACCAGTGCCAGGTCGCCGATGTGTAAACAGCGTCTCTCACTGCCATCGCATGCCAGCGGCAACCGTCGTTCGCCCCTCCTTCACTTCGCTATTATTCGTGATGGAGTCCGCGATAAGGTACGGCACAGCCGGCTAGTTGCATCTCAGGTAATCACACGACAGTCTCAAGTAATCACATGACGGTCTCAGGCAATCACACGACAGCCTCAGGTAACTACATGACAGCCTCAAGCAATCACATGACAGTCGCAAGCAATCACAGACGTCGCGTCTGCACACCGGTCAGCACCAAACCCTTCAGACCGACTGAACGACACAGGCGCCAAGACCCACGTGAGCCACCCCCGGCAAGCCATGTCCGTGGACCCCAAGGACCACCCTGGCCGCTGCACCTAGCAATTCGCACTCTCCTGCAGCAGGTCTGACGCCCGCAACCAAGACCGACGATCGCAGCTGACAAGAACATGCAATGACCTCCGGAGCTGCGAGAGGCGAAATGGTAGGGTCCGCAGCGCGCGTGTCGGGTCGGCGTGTCCGGGGGGGGGGGGGGGGGAGGGGGCCTCGTAACTCCGGGCCCGATCGGTCAAGTTCTGCCGGCATGGATGGAGCGGCAGCCCGGGCCGGGATAGAATGGCCGAGGAGACCGTGACAGCCGGTTGTGACCGGCGTCGGGTCGCGACTCTCGGCGATCATCAGCCCCGCTCGCCTCCCCACCGGGCGGAGGTCGCACGCTCTCTCGCCCTCTACCCCCCCCCCCCCCCCCTCTCTCTCTCTCGACTCTCTCTCTCTCTCTCTCTCTCTCTCTCTCTCTCTCTCTCTCTCTCTCTCTCTCTCTCTCTCTCTCTCTCTCTCTATCTCTCTCTCTCTCTCCCCCTCTCTTACCCGGGCCAGGTCGCCATTCTGAGCGGCGTGGAGAATCTCCTCCGATGACCTCTCCAGAAGGTGACTGTAACCGGAACGATACATGTTAGCGGTTTACAAAGTGGCATGCGACTGTTAAGACTCCACTGGGGTGGTGCGCAGACAATTCTACCAACAATGTGTTGTTCGTACCACGTATCTGCCATGTGAGGCATCTGCGCAATTTTATTGGCTGTTCATCTGCAAGCCAGACGATGGACATAACTCTTTGAATCCCGAGACGGAAATCTTCAGCCGCATTCAGTGCTGAGCTGTTCAACAGATAGGGCCAACACACGGCAATAAATATATCCGTGATGGCAGGCTTAGCGCGGCGGAGCGGCCCGAAACAGTGCCGTCTTCGCGTCCGGCCGCTCCGTCTCAACCCGCGCATCTTACAAGAGGGCCGCAGACTCTCCGGGGTCACGTGGCCCACACCGGATGTAGGTAGAACTCCCCGCAGTCACGTGGCCCACACCGGGTGTAAGTAGAACTCCCCGTTGTTACGTGACCCACACCGGATGTGGGTGTAACGGGTAGAGCTGGCCCCGTTCTGGACCACGGCCTTAGTCCATGCACATCCCCTGTCCCCGCACATGCATCGCAGCCAACTCTTCACCAGGCGGACAACGAGTTACCGGCAAGTTACCAACGGCCCGAGCCAACGGCCAACGGAGAGAGCCAACGGCCCGAGCAGGAATCGTTCCTTGAGGGTCAAAGTATTCCAGACGGGAGGAAAACGTATCTAAACGACTGCACGATATCAAAGGAACACAACCCCCGACACATTTCGGTGTTTACGTGCCGCTCCTGGACACTTCGTGCGTCGTCCGCGCGCGATTTAGCTTCCAAAGACCGGGCGCAGTGCTGACCCGCCACAGACAAACCATCCTGGTCCGTCCTGCTGGTAAGCGCGGGGAAGGGACAGGGACATGGACCGAGGCAGGGCCAGGGCCAGTAACAGGGACAGAAACAGGGGCTGGAACAGGGACCGGACCCGGGCCAGTAAGAGGAACAGAAACAGAGACAGGGACAGGGACAAGGACAGGGACAGGGACAGTGCAGCGGACGCCCGACCTCCGACCGCTGGCGTTTTGTCACCGCTAAGGCCAAGGTCACGCTCAGACGCCCCAGCACTCAACAGTCCACCCCTCCCACCCAGCACCAGGTCAGCCCCAACTGTAGAGCGTCACACACAGAAGACTACTCGGAGAGTGCGGACTCAGACTGTGCTGGGCGACAGGCAGCCACGCTCGACATGCGAGAGGCGATCGACGCGGCGCCCGCTTACTTTCCTCCAGACGCCCACATCCATTTGAGCGTTGTCAGTTTCGCAGTCCGCCGAGACCTCCACACAAACACACTCAAAGCCAGCCCCGCCGGGCGGGGCGCCGCCGCCGCCCGCCGACACGACGTGCAGCTTGGCCGCGCCGGGGGCGTCGGCGCGAGCTCGTTCTGCCAGGCCGGCCCGGCGCCATCAGGCCGGCCGAGCACGAACTAACGCAACGAGCCAATCCCAGTTTCAATCATGATTAATGCCGGCCGGCAGCGGCTAACTGGGCCAACTCTTTATTTGAAGGTAACGCAAATGCGCCGCCTGATTGATATGGGTGAGCGAAATTCGTGTCCGAGATTGGGGATTAAGGGAGCGGAGCCGGCGGCGTGGAATGAGCGGAGCGGCTCACCTCGGGGGGCTGAAGGTGGCGCCGAACAGGCGCTCACGCAGCCTGCAACAGAGCGGCGCCGTCAGCCGACGCGTGCTGCGCCGGGGCCACTGGGGAGCGCGGGCCGACAAACAACCCACCGCCGCCTACGAGCAGCGGACAGCGCGCGGTCGCTCCAGAGAGCGCGAACACGCGAGAGGCGCCGTCGTCCCGCCCCGGGCGTCGGGGGCCGCTGAAACGGGCGGCGCCTGCCAGTCCCTCAGCAACGATCATCGGCCGTCAGCGTTCGAATGACAAGCGCTCGTGGGCCGACCGTGGCCGCTTCATCCGGCAACAGAGCTGCTACGGACACCCAGGAGGCGGAGAGGAGCGCCTGAGGACAGCGGGCTGAGGAGGCTGGGGTGGATGGCTGAGGAGGCCGCGAGGAACGTCTGAGGACAGCAGGTGCGTCGAGCGCCTCTCAAGGCGTCGGGAACACTGGGAGGGAAAGCGAGACAAGAACACATGGGAGTGGAAACCTCGCGTACACTCAGAATGGAGCACGAAATGCCACAACACGCCGCTGTGCAACGGAAGTGATCTTGACTACAGTGGAGGGGAATGAGGATATGCCGTGCCATAATGGCGAGTGTCAGCGAACAGGATGAAATGTTTCCCGCGAAGGCACGCTTGCGAAAGGAGTCAGTCGAAAGTACGTGGAGCAGCCCCGTTTGGTGGGTCGACTGCACCTGCTTTAAACAACTGCAGGGACCAGCTTCTCCATACGATAGAGAAATATTACAGCGTGGAACAAGGCTAGTACCGTAAACATTAAGGGGCTACCTGGACTATCACTATTCAGATCGTGACCTTTGGTACAGCAATGTAACCCGCGTCTTGGAGATTTATGCCACGCTAAGTACTCGGCAGCATCGCAGCAACAGCGAGGGAACTACAGCCAACTGCACCAACTGGTTGAAATGCTCTCACACGACTTCCGACCCGGAACTACACGCGAAGGCAACATCTAAGCTGAAGGTCACGTGACTTTAGTCCTGTCACCATGTGACCGGGCCGGTCAGGACGCCACCCACGCGGTAAGATCCAGCTGTCCGGAGAGGGCGCTGGAGCGACGGCGCCGGGTCAGCCGTGACGAGCCCGTCATTGAGGGCGTGCTGTGCCGGCGGGCAGAGACGATCGACGGCCGAGGCGTGCCGGCACGCCCGCCCTCCGGCGACGGCCCGCCCGGGCTCCATTGCTCGCCGTCGTCCCTAGGTGGCGGTGCGACGCGTGGCCCGGTCAGCGGTGCGCTCGCTTCCTTGTGTCCCGGTTTAGCGCACCAGGGCTGGACATGTCCAAATGCGTCGTGGTCCAGTGATGCGGAAGTCAGCACGTAAGGCGCGTGTGCTTCTCAAATCGCCAGAGACGCGCGACGGCATACAGCGCGACATGCCCGCGCCTCGCCAAATTTGAGAACGCCGCACGGTTTGCGCGCCAACTTCTGCACTAGCCGACTTACGCCCACCGGGACCCCTCCAGCCCGGGAATCGTCGGCGGCCCTCGGCGCTGACGTCAGCCCGTGCCGATCGGCGAGCGGACCGGCCTACCGGTTACCCTTGCGAACCAGCGAGGCGAGCTGGCGGCCGTCTGAGACCAGCGCCGGTCCGCATCCCTACTCACCAGCGCCGCGACCGCACCCCTACCCACCAGCGCCGCGGCCGCACCCCTACCGACCAGCGCCTCGGCCGCAGCCCCACCCACCAGCGCCACGGTCACACCCCCACCGACCAGCGGCTTACTTGTTGTTGGCCGAGGCCACCGGCTGCGGCGTGACGGCCATCGGGTCCAGGATGAACAGGTCCTCCGAGCTGATGTCCGTCACGAAGTGCAGGTGCTCCTGCGCCCGGTCGATCCGGAAGAAGCGTTCCGCCGTGCACGCTGTCGGAGAACGGGGTCAGGCGGTGAGGCGAGCTGTCATCTGGAGGTCTCTCTAGTGAGTGGTCTCTGGTGAGATCTCTCTCTAGTGAGAGATCTCTCTGGTGAGAGATTTCTCTGGTTAGGGATCTCTGGTGACTGGTTTCTGGTAAGTGGTGAGAGGCCATCTGGTTATGCAAGAGGGGTCGACCGGTGAGGGCCGGGGGGTCTCTGGTGGGGGGGGGGGGGGGTGAGGGGTCTCTAGCGAGCGCTCTCTGGCGAGGGATGAAGGGATCTCTGATGAGGGGCGAGGGGTCTCTGCTGAGGGGTGATGAGGCTCTGATGAGCAGTCCCTGGTGACGGCTGAGGGGTCAACGGTGAAGGGTGGGCGCCTCTGGTGAGGGGTAAGGGGTCTCTGGTGAAAAGTCTCTGGCGAAGAGTGAATGGTCTATGGTTAGCCTCTGTTGAAGCGTGAGGGGTCTCTGGTGAGGGGTGATGGAACTCTCGCGAGCGGTCTTTGGTGAGAAGTGAAGGGCCTCTGGTGAGCGGTTTCTGGTGATGGGTGAGGGGTCCCTGGTGAGGTGTCTCTGGCGATGTGTGAGGGGCACTTCGTGAGTGCCAACGGGTCTCCTGGTGGAGGTCAGCACAGCGGCGAGAGGACAGCCCACCCACAACCTGACGATGACATGTGCCACCACAGAAAAGCTGGCACGCCGGTAAACGACAACAGAGGTCGCATCATCGGGCTATGATGTGACCTCCACGCTCTCTGATGTTTTATACAATACTTACCAGGTGCGAACACACACCCGGGTCGGAGACAAGAAGGCTTATCTAATATGAACTCGAGAAATAGACTGTTGCTGTTGGAAGGTGGGTTTTCACCTAGCGGCCATCACAAGGTGGGCTGCGTTGAAAATCGAAATACGAGGCGAACTTGTCTATATCATCCAGCGAATAAACCCGGGACCAAATTACTTATTCCAACGAGCTCACGCCCTGTCTATCTCAGTGCACAGCTGTTTGCATCACTCTAGTTCAGCCGACTAGTGGGCTTAAGCTGATTAGCCACGCAGCAGTGTTCGGCTGCAACAATATTGGCCTGGCCCGATCTCAGCACCAGCTTCACAACCAGCTGACATCTAACCACGATGATGACGGACCGATTCAAGGCTGCGCCCTTTGAGATTCAACGCACACATTCAGTCAAATATTGGGTAGTTCAGTCCAATATACATTTTTATATGGGTCACACGTGACTAATCGGCTGGGGCTGCCCTGCCATTCTGCAGGGAGAGCGCCGTCGTGTCACACGCGGCCGCGTGACGCGGCAGCGGTGGGCGTGGGTCAGGGGTGGGGTGGCGTTGGCAGCCGTATGGGCCGTCAGATCATGCCGGCGCTCCAGATACCCTGACATCGCGGTCCAGGGTCAAAGACGCCGAGTGCTGGCGGGGCACTGCGCCCGCGACGAGGGATGAGCACTTCAGCTAACACGGGAGGCAGGCAGCGGCGTGTATCCAGTACAAGGCAGCGTGTATAGCGAAGACAAGTCCGCTGTGTGCATACCAAACGCAAAAGCACCCACTTCACTGTAGGGACAGCGGCAGGCGACGACAGTGACCCGCGAGATGGATTCCACCGGGCGCTTACAGCCCTTGGACCCCAGAAACGTCCCGGGACATGCTCACCCGCCCCCGCCCGCCGAGGTGAGCATTTGCTCCGCTCGAGACAGCAAACGGTCGACTGACTCACAGTCGACGAAGCACCACTCGGGGCTGAGTGGCGGGCTCTGCTGGCTTTCCTCCTCCAGCCGGTTGATGTGGCGCCGCACCTGCTCCAGGTCCGAGTCGTGGTCCACCATGATGACGCCCAGAGGCGTCGCTGCGTGGCAGAGCGCCAGGTCAGCGGGTGCGGCCCGCGCGACCGTGGCCGCACCTCGGCGCCGGCGGAAGGCTGCGCAAGACCCGCGCAGGGAGGACGGCGGTGCCACAAGGCCCGCGCAGGGAGGACGGCGGTGCCACAAGGCCCGCGCAGGGAGGACGGCGGTGCCACAAGGCCCGCGCAGGGAGGACGGCGGTGCCACAAGGCCCGCGCAGGGAGGGCGGCGGTGCCACAAGGCCCGCGCAGGGCGGACGGCGGTGCCAAGATACGCGCAACGCGCCTAGTTCAGCACTTCGCACCGATATAAGGGCGCATTCTCGACATACATTATTTTAGACTGCTTGCAAGAGCCGGCTGCCTAAAACGCGGTTCGTTTCGACCCCCATGTCATTCCGATGCAATGTACATGACACACATAACCTGATCACGTGGTTATCACGTGGACCAAATTAAACAGAGTGCTCTTTGGCTGACCACGAACATCAAGTCTCCGGACTTCGCCCGTGCCTGATGACGACGGGTCAACACCACCTTATTCTGGCCCGTATATAACCCTTGAACGAGCGCCGCAGGCCCCGGCAGCCACAAACAAACACAGCGCCACGTCAAAGTCAGTGTCAGCGTCAACGTCAGTTTCAGCGTCAACATCAGTGTCAGAGTCAACGTCAGTGTCAGCGTCAGCGTCAGTGTCAGCGTCAACGTCAGTGTCAGCGTCAACATCAGTGTCAGAGTCAACGTCAGTGTCAGCGTCAGCGTCAGTGTCAGCGTCAACGTCAGTGTCTGCGTCAACGTCAGCGAGCTTCCGATGACGTGCGGCGGAAAAGCGGACGGGCGAGGCTTACAGTGCTGCATGAGAGTCTCCTTGTCGTAGTGGTACTGCTCGTAGTCGGACATGGTGATGCGGTTGATACGCATCCGAAGCTGATCCTGTTGCGTATTCCTGCAAAGGCCGAAGGGCGTCAAGGTGGTCTGACACCGCCAGCGCTCTTCGGCAAGTGACACCATATCGGGACGGCTGCAGAATAAGGAGTGGTTTGGAATTTGGAACCATCTTTGAATGCATGGCACGAGCTTCTGTAACAATCAGTGTTTGTTGAATGTTTCTGAGGGCTATGCAATACATTATACATGCAGTTGGTCATTTCATGCAGTGGTGGTGCCACCCGCTTCAACGTTTCCATAATTTCTTCAAAGAGAGATCAGTTTCATTGGATCATTTCATTCCAGATGTGAAGGCAGGTCAGAAGCGCCAAGAACCAGCCCGATTGGCGCGTCGCGTCGTCAGCTCGCACATTCCAAATGCCGCTCAAAACAGAGCACCTCCACCTTCACTCACATATGACACAGAGCACCTCCACCTTCACCCACATATGACACAGAGCACCTCCACCTTCACCCACATATGACACCGAATGGCGCCACCTCGGTATGCCTTTCAGCTCGGAAAAGGCTGCGTGTCGACTCAGTGTCTGCGCGCCGGAAACTCTTTTGATTCGAAAAAGCCCGGCTGAATATTCCGACTAGACGCTTGACTCGACCTCGGCCTCATCTTGCGGTATCCAAAAACTTTGCGTAATGCAGCGGCACGGAGAGAGCGTCACCCGAGGAGAAGCGAGGGCGCGTAGTCAGAATGGCGGCGCCGATGCTCCCTCCCCCAGTGCGCAGCAGACGTCCGCAAGCCAGTCCAACGCACGTTCTGGCGTCGCCAGGCCGCTGCTGTCCATTATTACTGTATCGTTCTTATGGACTGCTGAGCTTCAAATACGACGTTGGCGGAGGTTCGGAAGTCCAGAATAGTTTAAAAACCAACCAAACGTGCGCCCGTAGATGTGAAAACCGTTCGGAAACCATTCGGACAGACGTCCAGGGCCTCTCACCGGGCGTCCAGGGCCATATCGACGGGTGACTGAGGTCACCCCAAGGGGCCACATTATCAAGTCCAACGACTGCTTGCTTGTCCGGTTGCCGGGCGTTCAGAGACATCGAGCCGGCCGTTAGCGCATGCAGCATGAGATATCTCCGCAACATTTACAACGCATTTCGATATCCCAAGCGTCCGATCCAGGTATTGCCTTAGCGGACTGCCCCCCCCCCCCCCCCTCCAACAATGCCCCGGCCGTGCCGCTGAGCGGCGTGAGTCAAACTTCCAACGTAATTGGCGGGAATCGAACCTCGCCTAAACTTTAAATTGGCGCCTATGGATGCTGCGTAGACAGCATCGACGTCCAATCCCAATGTGCTCCCTAACCACACTGAAGAAGTTTGACGTCTGCTGGGCAGACAGCAAATAAGACAAGAGGGACAGTGCACTGAGAGCAGAGGGATCAGCGGCTTGCGAGCGGTCCGTGCGCAGACAAACGGAGCCGAAGCCCGAGGTGGGGGTCTCGGACCCAGGGTCTGAAGACGCGTCAGATATCGGCAGACAACCACGTACATGGTGTGTTGACAGAGAGGTCACTGTCCGCCACATATCCACCTGTACAGCTCCGCGCTGGAGCGTATAGCCGTCTACTTCGGCCCCGCCGTGAACAGCGCAACAGTCCGGTTCAGCTCCGTGATGGAGCATGCTAGTCTGGTTCAGCTCCGTGATGGAGCATGCTAGTCTGGTTCAGCCCTGTGACAGGCAGCACGCTAGTCTGGTTCAGCCCCGTGACAGGCAGCATGCACGTCTGGTTCGGTTCGGCGGGGTTCCACATGCACGTTCGGTTTAGTTCGGCGGAGTTCCGCACGCACGTCTGGTTTAGTTCCGCGTGGTTCAGCGGAGACGTCTGGTTTAGTTCGGCAGGGTTCAGCATGCACGTTTGGTTTACGCGGGCACGGTTCAGCACACACATATCGTTTAGTTCGGCGTGGTTCAGCGCACACGTCTGGTTTGGTTCGGCGTGGTTCAGCATGCCGGCTGCTTCAGCTACGGACAGTGAAATGGTGGTCCGTATGCACAACGGACAGCATGCCAGTCCGGCTCAGAACCGCGGGGACAATATCGCGCCCGACTCAAAGCCGCGGCCCATCCTCTACATCCGCCACCAGATGACAAGTTCACTGAACTCAGCTTACAGCTGCCCGACAGCCGGCAAATAATGGGCCTTATCAGATGCCATTTCTCAGCTAGATGCCCATAAACACTGAAGGACTGCCCCGACTGAAACGAGCAACTGTTGAACGAAGGCCTGACGTCAGCAGTCTTTTTAATTCATTAGGGCTCATTAGATAGGCTGAATCCCATGATGTAATACCACGGTACTAAAATAACACTACAATCAAGCCAGTCAGACGACCCGTTCCCGGACCTCCAGTGCACACTTGCCCTAAGTGCGGAATGAGACTAGCGCCCATGAAAAGTCCTAGCACAAACACTGAAAGACCGAACCCGGGGGATCGGCTTGGAGCTCGCAAAAGGCCACAGTACTGTACTGCCCCACTAGCCGACTTATTTGCCGCGTTCTCCTGCGGCGCCACAAATCGGTAGTTAGGGACGTGGTTTCCTATTCGTTCTTTTTATCTCCATCACGAGGCGTTCACCATTCCCGACGTCCGTGTCACATTGTGTTGAAACTTAAGCAAACAGTGAGTATAGTGGCAGGGCAACAGAAGTTCCCCCAAATTTAACGGGTCCGAAATGCACTTCGTTCCAGTCAACGATCATACGGTAATGCCACATTTTCAGAAAGTTGGGGCTCAGTTCCTCTTCCTATTCTCGCGTCCCGCATGGTTGCCAATGCTCCTTTACGAAGCATTACGCATCGCACACTTCATACGAGAAAGGTTCTACAATGTTATGAACCACGATGCATCCATCACGCCTCGGATCACTGGAAAATTCCGCAGCGATACTTAAAATCGACACTTCATCAATATCTGTACCACGCACCTCAACAAATTATACCCTCCATGGACCCAAGCACATCGGGTCGGCGAAACCCAGCGGGCCCAAGCCATCCCGCTGGAGCATGTGAACAGGTCCATGGCTGCCGGGTTTCCTTGATGATATGTACTGAAAGCCATCCGATGGCTTGGTTTTGGCCGAGTCCTGGCAGTGGCGGCGGCAGGCGCTCTGGACACCTCAGCCGATATATGGATCCACCGCGTCTGACGTGCAGCTGCAGCCGCTCGCCGCCGATAGGAGATCGCCACACTCCGAGCTCTTCATCACACTAAACACATCCGACGGCCCGATGGGCTCCTCAAGTGGACACGAAATACGGACCATCCGGACGGCGCCACCCAGATGGAAGGGACGGAGGCGCGGCCCAGTTTCGACGTGAGGCTCGGCGGATCTGCCACTCTCCTGTTGGGCCATTTCTTTATACATTGCATCGGCGGGCCCCTGAGTCCCATACAGCCTCGGCCGTATCGACGGAGCTTATGCAGAGTAGGATCCCGAAGTGGGCAACGCTTGGGCGGCCGCATCCTACTCCGCCGCACCCCCACGCCGGGCCGGCGCGGACAGACCGGTCCGACACAGGGCCGCACGCTGATGCATAGATCCATGAACAGAGTATGTGACAGCTCCAACAGAATGCTGGACAGGGCACGTGACAGCTCCAGGGCAGTCCCAGACGGAGCACGCGACAGCTCCAGTGCAGTCCCTGACAGAGCAGATGGCAGCTCCAACGCAGCCCCGGACAGAGCACATGGCGATACCGTCCCTGGCGTGTGTCCTAGCTCCTGTCCGACGGACGACGAAAACCAGCCTGAGCCGGCAGCACACCACGGAGACCAACCTGAGCCGGCGGCGGACCACGGAGACCAGCCTGAGCCGGTGGCAGACCACGGAGACCAGCCTGAGCCGGCGGCGGACCACGGAGACCAGCCTGAGCCGGCGGCGGCCCGCGAGCCCTGACCACCGGCCGATCGGACCTCCCGCCAGTCGGTGACCTCTGACGGACCTCGGAGCGTCGCAGCCGCGTTAGTGAGCTGCGCTGCCAGGCGGCTTTCGTGTCCACCTCCGGGTCGAGACCATAATAAGAAGCCGCGGGTCGGGGCGCCGCCGCGGAGCGCCGTCGGCCGCGCGGCGTCGTCAGTCGCTTTCGGCGAGCCGTGGGATGGTATTACTCACGTCACGTCGGTGGTGAACTGTGTCCAATGCAGGAGCCCTTAGTGAAGGGTGGTCCTCACGCCTCCGTGAGACGTGTCAGCGACGGCTGCGTTTTTTGGATAGATTTGGTCAAGCACGCTTTGGAGAGAGCGCTTTTTACCAGAAGATGATATGTTCCAGAAAACATTCTATCAGTTCGGTAAAAGACAGGTTTCGTTCACTTAGAGTCAAGATTCAAGGGCCATCTTTTCAATAACAGCAAACTCAGCCAGGCGCTCCAAGAAAGTAAATACAACTCAAGAGTAAAATAAACTAACATCGCCGTAGTTTGCAACGGGAGCAACATTGCAGCAGAGTCATGCAATGGCTGCGCTGTGACGAGCTCGCTGGGCCCGAGCCGGCGCGGAGCTCGCTGTGGAGGACCGGGCGTCATCCGGGTGCCGTCCCACGCAGCTCGGCCCGCCGCCCGGCAACGTCGCAATCCACACCGCCGCGCATCGCTCCAGCCAAATCGAACGGCCGCGGTCGTAAGTTAGCCCACTCGGAATTGGAGCTGTCGACAACTTGAACGCCGCTCTACGGTATAGAAACTGTTGACGGATGCGGAAGGCCCAGACGGGTCCTGATAAATTGGTGACTTAGAATGGGCGGGGAAGTGGAAGGAGAATAGGGAGTTCTGCTAATATGGACACTGGGGGTAAATGCAGGCAATACGGAGTGCATTAGAAGCAAAGATGACGCGGCAGCATCGGAAAGGTAGCCTCGTGAAACGAGGGACGGGGAACTCAGTGAGCACGAACGCTTAAAAAACGATTCCGATATAAGCCTGAGCTGAGCGCCTGACGACTCCAGCAGACTGCGTGCCTGGTGCGCCTGCTACCGACTCTTTCGAAAGCCAATACCGCATTTGCGGCAGCCTCATCGACCACGCCGACGTGACCATCTAGCTGGCACAGCTGTCAGGTCAGTCGGGTCGGGAGCTGGCAATGCTGGCACCGGGTCCATTCCGTCACACACATACACACACACACAGCCCAGCAGCCGGGCGTGGGTACCCGTGTCCGGTGCCAGCCCAGTAGCCGGGCGTGTGTACCCGTGTCCACTGTCAGCCCAGTAGTCGTGCGTGCGTGCGTGCGTGCGTGCGTGCGTGCGTGTGTGTGAGTGTGCGTGTGCGTGGTGCCGGTGCTATGTCCGAGCCAGCCGCCGGCCGGGCGGCGCAGGCGGCGGAACTCACGCGGAGCTGGACTTCTCGCCCCGTCGCTTGCAGATCATGCGGGCGCGGTTGAGGTGGCTGACGGTGATGATGGACGGGTTGACACGACACGCCTCGCCGTCCACCTGCATGGGGATCGTCTTGGCCGTGGTGATGACCGCCTTCTGGCAGCGGCCCAGGCTGGTGCCGTGGCCACCCGCGTGCAGCAGCGGCTGCCGGCAGGCATGGACGTCAACCCTGGTGCTGCACGCGAGGAGGTCGTCAATAACTGTGCTGAGGCGAGGAGGTCGCCAATAACTGTACTGACGTCAGGAGGTCGCCAATAACTGTGCTGAGGCACGCCCAACGGACAGACACGTGCAACACACGTAAGCCACCACCGGTGGCGCGGCATCGGACAGCATACACAGCGGAGGTCGTCAGTACCGGCAGCACAGCCTCCAGATAAGGAGACCCGCACCACAAGCACCGAAGCCTCACGCCAACACACAAACGGCGGCCGGCGCCAGTGGTGCTGGAGGCGGCGTCTCTTCCGTTCCATCGGCGCGTCTCCCCTCCCCTCCCCTCCCCCCTCCCCCTGCCCTCAGGGCTCACGAGACGCCAGCATTGATGCGGATGCGGCGCAAACGCCGCCACCATTCGCGCCGCCGCCGTCACGGACGGCAGCTGAGCCCCGGCATAACAGAATGACGAACAGCGCGATTTGGCGCACAGCCGGCAAATCCGGCTGGGCCGTACGGCGGCCATGCGCACCGCCGTCCCTTCCTCCCAAACTGCCGCGATATTACCCAGGAGGCTGTGCTGTCGTATTTCATGGTCGGCCATGCCTGCAATAACCTGATGATGACCGATGACACGTGGTGTTTCCATCATCCCGCCGGGAATGACAGCGGTGCTACGGAGATATAAGGCGGTACACACGCGTCACACGGGAGGAGGGCCTGCTCGTATGCCGCTAAGCGATGTGACGAACCAGCGGATGCATTAACGCGACGGGACATCAAAGCGGTCGGGGATCCGTGGGGATTCGGTGCATCCACGCTTACACGCCGAACGGAAACAAGCCGGCGGAGGGGAATATATCGCGGCGATGCGGTCTAGTCCAATAGGCGGAGACCACCGAGCCAGCCACTAGACAACGACAGCTAGCGATCGACAATAATCCGTTTGAATGTCATTGGTACGGTTGATACAAAATAAGTCAAAACGCCGATAATAGCAACTGTTCTATCGGGAAAACTTAGCAAGCCGCCACCATTTCTCCCGCGGATATTTTCGACAATGGAATTGCAAAATGAACTCAGCAATGCAATGGCCAGCCTAGCAGTGTGGTCACGACACCCCGAGAATGGTATCGGTGGCGGTCAACGCACACACCAGCCAGAGATAGAGACTCTACCGGAGCGGGTTTAAGCATCAAAAGTGAGACCGACAATCTTTGGCTCGAGTGGAGCAGCATAGCAGGCGGCGAGAGCCCTCCGAGGGATGTTGGCTCGAGCTGGGCAGCGCAGCAGGCGGTAAAAGCAGCTGACAGTGTCCACGGCTACCGGGCAGGGACCAATCCCATTTTGTCTGCACACGCTTCTGCTGGCCAGTGCAGGTGGTCCCGAATCAGCCCGGGCGGCGTGGCACAGCCACGCTGGCTGACCGGCGCCTGGCCGTCCTGGCCACCTGCCGGACACGTCCTCCTCGCTCCAAGCCGCAGCGCTATCCGCAGGCGACGCCACGGTAAATTCGACGTCCAGCGAGCTCGTCAGTCCGTGCCGGGACGCTCCGCCGGCCGCGCGGGGCGCGGATGGGCGCACCGGCGCCGCTCCGGTGACATCGACGGCAGCGCCTGCGCGGCGCTCGTCGGGGCTCCTCGGCGATCTCGGTCTCGGCTCGACCAGCGAGGGCCGGCGAGGCCGTACGACGCGCTGGGCGCCAGCGGCCCGTCCCGAGTCGTCCGTGAGACCGGACGGATTGGTGGACGGCAGGTCCGATCGGCCGATCCGAACTGGGAGGAGCGCGGTGGCCCGGATTCTCTGACGTATGGCGGCGTGGGCAGGACCCCAGCGCCAGACTGACGCGTGTCTTGTAAATTCTCTGCCCGGCTCGATCCCACGCGAGCGACCGCCCGCCCCTCCCAGCTGACGCACCGCTGCAACGTGTGCCGCGCAGGGGAACGAGATTACTCTGCCTCAGCAGTCGACCACTCACGCATGAGACCGTCTGTGGACTCCACGACGTTTGCTGACTCGGACCGAAGTCTGGCCACCGCATCCCCGAACGCAGCGAGACAGTGAGCGAGACGCAGCGGCATGTAGTGATAGACACAGCGGCATGTAGTGACAGCGCTCCTCCTCCCAGACGCATAGTCAGCTGGATGGGACCCCATTGTAAACTTTAGCAATACCCCAACATCTGGAACTGTTTCAGAAAACCGGATCGCCAAATGAATGGGGTATTTTTACGAGACAATTTCTCAGGCCAACTGGCCATTACTGGTCGACAGGCACAGCCACCGACGCCGTTCGCAGCAGGAATCCCCTAGCAGTATACGCAGGGGCGATAAGGCGCGAATGACAGGCTTATTTATAGTGCCGGCAGCCAACCGAACCACCGTCGCAGCAGCGGACGGTACCAAGGGCACATTTCAGAGCGCATGTCACGCGCTGTTTTACACAAAACATAAAAGAAGCATTTTACCACGCTGCTTTACTAGGCGCCTTTCACACTTTCCGTTATCTAAAATCAACCCACCAATCAACCATGTCTCTCAGGCCAAAGCTCGTAAAGAGCATGGGTCGCCATAGCTACCAGGCTATGGCGGCCAACATAAGTAACTGAACCTGCACAGTACGCAACTGAAAACGATATCAATTTCAACGTGCGACATTAAGCAATGCGATTTCGTCCAGCCGATTGCGGGGCGGCGGTGTACAAACGAGTGCTACACATGGATACACTATTATCGACAAGTAGCAAGCCATGGGAATGATCCAAAGGGATCAATGCGGAACAGTCACCTGACATCTAATAGGTCATAATCACAAACAAATCAATAAAGTTCACAACCCTGGGACCAGGAGCTGTTGTTGCTTTGAACGGAGGGACCGTCGGCGCCCATAGATTTCAGTCTGGCGTTCCCTCGTTCAACACAGGGCACGATAATATCATTTTGCGGCTGACAACCGCAAGACAATCCTGTTATTCCTCCGCCTGAGTGGTAAAATCTAGTACTAATAGTGCGCTTTCCATCCGTGTCTATTCAAAATAACAACGGTGGCAGCCCGCAAAGTTTTTCCTCTTAAAAAAGCAGGCGCACCAGATGTGTGCGGCTAACACCACGAACGCCGTACCTGGTCTTTGTTGTGCGGTTAGGCATCCAATGAATGAAGGAGCATAAATGAGAAAGGAAAACAATATGCCATCATTGTCGAAGAAGACGAAACGTTCCTTGGCAAGACGGCCTTCGTTTTGTCAAGGTGGTGTACCAATGAACTGTTGTTGAGGTTTCACCAAATATATAAATGTCTATGTAAAACATGTCCGTGGTCTGCCATCCCTAACTCACCGGAACTTATTACTAGTTTTATTTCACTTACTTACCGTACATCATTACTAGTTTTATTTTCAGGTGTGAAAAAGTGGCAGGCCTTTCTTGTCAGGGTAGCAGCATTTATCAGGTTTGGGTCGCGGATGACATTCCAAAAACTGTGTCCGGCTTGGCCGCGAGTCGAACTTCAAACCCGACACGTACCTCTCAGTCTGCCCATCTGTGCATTTGTGTTGTCTTACGTGGCTGGAACACTTGCCGTAGTCATTAAGTGCTTCGCAAAAGTCGGAGGAAGCGCGAAAGTACAAACAGAATCAAACCTGGAGGATCGAAGGTGATTCCCAGTGGCCCAGTGGTCACCATGGTAACCATGGCAACAGTGGTCACCATGGTCACCTGGTAACTATCAGAATATGAATTTCAGTTAATACGTAAATTGTCAAATGCGAGTATTTCCGTTGAACTTCATCAAAGTGATCGAAATCGGCGAGCGTGTACACATGGTGACCATTTAAATATGCAATTAGCATCAAAAGCTCTCGAAGAGTCTCGAATTAGTCAAGCTAAATCAACAACTTTTGGAATCACGTTAGATTCAAGAAGCAAAGCCAACGACAGCAACTTTGACACATGATGACTTTTCCACTGCTTGAAGTAGAAGTTCCCATCAATTAAAACGACTGTTTACGCAGGGCGAACATGGATGACGTGCGTAAGGGCACGTCAAATCAGTCAATTAGAGAGCACTGCGTCAGCTGCACAGATAAATGAAAACTCGTGTCTAAAGTGGAGCCAGATGCAGCGTGGACGGTCGCTGGGTCCTTCATGTATCAACTTGCCGCCGGGGGGTGACAAGAAATATGACTGATTGAACCTTGGTGGGTGAAATACGACTAGGCTGACCTCGGTCGGGTGAAATATGACTTGTCTGATCTCGGCAGGTGAAATATGATTAGTCTGATCTTAGAGGGTGAAATGTGACTAGTTTGACCTGGGCCGGGGAAATATAACTAGTCTGACCTCGATCGGGTGAAATATGGCTATTCTGACCTCGGTCGGGTAAAATGGTCCTGGCCAGTTCTGAGGACCGGACTCCAGCAAACAAGTACCATCCAAAGCGATCAAAGCGGTTCACTTTGTCCCCGGCTGGTCTACCGTCACCTAGATGGGCAAGATAGAATACCTGACACAGTTCCCTGCACCTTCAGCGATCCTTGATCCGATAGTTCGACTGGTAACGGGGCGGACCTCTCGGAGAGCCATCTCTCCACCATCTCGACGCGCCACCATCCGGCAGCTACATATCCCCGATAGCCGAGCCGATCTGCCCAACACCGTACCGCGTCCGAGATGATTCATTTGATGACCGCTTTACGGCGTCCTCATCCCGCGGCGCGGCGAAAAGCGCTCTCCAAACGGCATCGGCGGTCCCCCTCATTTCAGCCGCCGCGGCGCGTGCCAGAGTGGCGAAAGCCCCGCCATCGTCCACACATATTTCATGACCAATCACCGGCGACGATGCGCAGCTCCAGCCACGCCGCCCCGACCTGGGCGCCCCGGGCGCGGTGCGGCGGCCGCGGCGGCTGCGACCGACGGCGCTCTCGCCTGATACCGGGCGCCGGCCGCGGCGCCGGTCGAGCTGGCCGGGGCGCCATCGCGAGCAGCGCGAAGCGCGGCCGGCGCCGCGCACCACCGGGCGGCGCACGGGCCATTGGGCGCGCTCGGAGGTTCGTCGCCAGCGGCGCGCCGGACAGGCCGAGCCGCAGCCTGGACGAGGCGGATCGTGCCGTCTCTGGCCGGAGGGTGGTGGGCAGCAGCCGCTGACGCCTGCTGCTCCACTGGCTGACACTCAGTCTGATACGTTTCCAGCAAACTGGATATGGAATGCACCATTCGCTACCCACATGGGTTATCTACAATCATTCAAGCAACTGTGGATCCCGTGTGCTCCAGTCAATAAGCGAGTCTCACAAAACAGTCTCGAGATGTTTGGTACGACCAACCACGCCGTCCGGGCATTCTCATCAACTCTCTAAGCGAAGCATCGCGAAAATTGTACCGGGCAAACGTGGTACAATACTTTTCGCAATACCTTTTCCAACACTTTGCTTACAGGCCACACTATAGAGCAAGCCAATCGCTGTAAGTTGGCCGTGCTAGGCGGCACTGGGAGGTCGCCAACCCACGGTGGCCGCGAGACCGCGGAGGCTGACCATGATCAAGGTCAACCGGCCTGGGGCGCGCCCAACCGACACGCCTTCAATCTAATAGGCGTCAGCGAACGGCACAGCCATGCGAAATTACCCGGATGAGGCAGGTTTGGGGTCGGTGCCGTTCACTGCCACCACTGATGGCACGTCCCTGTCCCAATGTGACGGTACCGTCCCAGATACGGGAACAACTCTACAGACACGCATAATGAAGTTTTACACCAACAGGGCCGCGTGGACTCTGCGGACTGCAAACGACGGCCATCTCCTTTTCAGCAACGGGAAATGAAGGGAACACGTTCGAGGGTATTAAATGTGTCGATCCATGGGTGTCGGACACGCAATGACCTGCGTGCGAGCCACTGACCAGCTGGTAGGTGGTGAGGCCGATCACCTCCATCTGACCGTCGGAAGTCGACTGGTCCCGGCCGGCCCACGGGTGCGTGCCGCCCCCGTAGCTGAAACACGGCGGACGGCACACGGTCACTGGACATCGCAACCTAAACACGGCGGACGCCACACGGTCACTGGACATCGCAACCTAAAGACGACCGACACCACACAGCCACTGAACATCGCAACCTAAACACGGCGGACGCCACACAGCCACTGAACATCGCAACCTAAACACGGCGGACACCACACCGTCACTGAACATCGCAACCTAAACACGGCGGACACCACACCGTCACTGAACATCGCAACCTAAACACGGCGGACGCCACACAGCCACTGAACATCGCAACCTAAACACGGCGGACGGCACACCGTCACTGGACATCGCAACCTAAACACGGCGGACGCCACACAGCCACTGAACATCGCAACCTAAACACGCGGACGCCACACCGTCACTGGACATCGCAACCTAAACACGGCGGACGCCCACACCGTCACTGGACATCGCAACCTAAACACGGCGGACGCCACACCGTCACTGGACATCGCAACCTAAACACGGCGGACGCCACACAGCCACTGAACATCGCAACCTAAACACGGCGGACGGCACACCGTCACTGGACATCGCAACCTAAACACGGCGGACGGCACACCGACACTGGACATCGCAACCTAAACACGGCGGACGCCACACCGTCACTGGACATCGCAACCTAAACACGGCGGACGCCACACCGTCACTGAACATCGCAACCTAAACACGGCGGACGCCACACCGTCACTGGACATCGCAACCTAAACACGGCGGACGGCACACCGTCACTGGACATCGCAACCTAAACACGGCGGACGCCACACAGCACTGAACATCGCAACCTAAACACGGCGGACGGCACACCGTCACTGGACATCGCAACCTAAACACGGCGGACGCCACACCGTCACTGGACATCGCAACCTAAACACGGCGGACGCCACACCGTCACTGGACATCGCAACCTAAACACGGCGGACGCCACACAGCCACTGGACATCGCAACCTAAACACGGCGGACGCCACACCGTCACTGGACATCGCAACCTAAACACGGCGGACGCCACACCGTCACTGGACATCGCAACCTAAACACGGCGGACGTCACACCGCCACTGGACATCGCAACCTAAACACGGCGGACGTCACACCGTCACTGGACATCGCAACCTAAACACGGCGGACGTCACACCGTCACTGGACATCGCAACCTAAACACGGCGGACGTCACACCGTCACTGGACATCGCAACCTAAACACGGCGGACGTCACACCGTCACTGGACATCGCAACCTAAACACGACAGGTGTCACACCGTCACTGGACGTTGCAACCTAAACACGGCGGACGTCACACCGCCACTGGACATCGCAACCTAAACACGGCGGACGTCACACCGCCACTGAACATCGCAACCTAAACACGACAGGTGTCACACCGTCACTGGACGTTGCAACCTAGACGCGACAGTCGGCTGTCGCCGCCAGCTGACAATTGAACGCGGCAAATCCAATGTCACTGAAATACGTCAGCCTCACATCGCCACGCACATTAATGTACCCGCGCCATGAGAGGCATTTCATTGTACACATCAGCATTGTGACTGAAACACAACGAGGTGCCTCATGTATTAAAAAGACCTTTACGTGAGGCCCGGTATATCCTTTTAACTATATTCCTGCCCAGGCAACTGGACCACATGACCCCACATAAAACACTACCCATTGCAAACACTGAAACTGCCCCTGCATCTTTTTCAAATCGCAATGTGTAAGCGCACGGGTCTGGAACTACTTAATTTCACTAATCCAGCCTTCTTCTCTCCCATCACTGACCTAAAAGCGATCACGAATAAAATGAACCATCTGTAGCCACGTAACAGCAAATTGTAGCCTAAAAAGGGTGCAATTTATAGAAGTACCTTATCGATCTCGTTACAAACATTCACCAATGACGTCACAGCAGTAACCAGGCGAACCGGCCACCAACCCAGCCGCTGCCTATTCTCGGAGCATCCAAGAGCAGCACAGCCTTCCCAGCTGGCGCACCAGAATCCGCAGCCTTATGGGTAAGCACAAACGCTATTAATAACGGGCTTGATCTACAGATTTCTCGGCATAATTGCGCGCATCCTACCGGCTGTGTGAGCAGGTGCGACAGACTGGCCAAGACGCAGGGGAGGCGCCCCGATCCGGTCCGTGCTCGCTCGGCAACAGGCGAGAGGACGAGCCGGCGCCGACACACAGAGCCCCGCGCGAGGGGTAAGCCGTGGTGCAGATCACAGCACGGGGGCCGGCAACACATGAGGGGACGAGCCGGCGCCGACACACAGAGCCCCGCGCGAGGGGTAAGCCGTGGTGAAGATCACAGAGAGGAGGCCGGCAAACACATGGGAGGACGAGCCGGCGCCGACACGCAGAGCCCCGCGCACGGGGTAGGCCGTGGTGAAGATCACAGCACGGGGGTCAGTCCACCTGGCTGACAGCAGGCGGAGAAGACAGACGTTGTAGCTCACACCAGGTAGCAGTAAGCTCCGTGGCACTGCGTGGGAAGAATGGATCAAGAACCACCCCCGTACCCAGTCTATTGGAAGTTCTTACGCCTCTACCAGCAAGAACCGCCGTCCACCAAGCAAACAAAAACTTTTGCCGAGTGTAGCGAAATTACATTACATTGTGGCGATACGACATCCATATAACACCGTCAAAACTGTGGCATGCCATGCAATGTCGCTGATGAATGAAAAGCAAAAACAGTAATCACATTAGTGTAGCAGCGCAAAGCAAGGCTGCAAATTGACGTTTTCGCATACAAGTCATCTTTGTATTGCTACCTGACACCGTCACTGAATATAAGCTTCGTAAGGCAGTACTGTACAGAGTCCAGCCGGGACACTTTTCCTTATTAGATGCGTCACTCCAAATATGCACAGCGAAGCTCCGCTCCAAACGGTCAGCGTCGCCTTCTGACCAGCCGCTGGCGGCTCCTGACTGATCATCCGCCCCCCTCCCTCCCCTCCACCCCGGTTAGGGGGGGGGCTCAGAAGGGACGGAAGGTCGTCTTTGCCCGCACAGGCAAAACGAGGAATGTTCGACACCTTCCGGTCATTGGTATCGATATTGACTGAGGAATCCAGAATACAAACCAAGAATGCCGAGTACGCATGTTGTGATTATACAATCACTAATAGCCGCAAGCTTATTTGACAGAGCTTCACATCTCTCCAGTTCATTCTGCATGCTTGTAATCACGCTCAACTTGCAACGGCTGTTACAGCCATCTTTGCCACCATCTTTAACTGGCATTGCCCACGGGATCAGGAGCTTCATCAGCGTTTCACCGACTACTTCAGCAGCTCTTCCGCAAAACCACAAGCTACCGGTATGAAGGGCGGCAGGGCAGCACCTGTCCCCGACCCGCTCGTCTCAATAGCATGTGCAACGAGTCCGGACCTCAGCCTCTGGAACCGAACGGATCTCAGCCGACGCGGCCACCTTCTGTGGCGACTACGCGCGCCCGCGGCACCCTCACATCACCTGCGCCGCGACCGCGGGCCGGTCCGCCGCCTCCGCCGGGCGGCCGGCTGAACGGCACCGGTGCGCAAGACATGCGGTGCATCCAAGCGTCTGCAGATCCGGCGCCAGATCCGCCGCGGACGGCGGCGAGTCGCGACGGCGCCGCGCGGTCGATACGCCGAACTATTCATAGCCGGACGAGCGGGCGGCGCGTCCAATCAGTGTCCTCACATCATCCACGCACGCACAGGAATGGTCGTCCGGCGGCCGAAGGAGCGGCTCCCACGGCCGAGACGGCCGCGCCGCCCCGTCCGCCGGCGCGGCTGCCCTGACCCCCATCCGGCCGTGCACGGCAGCTGATGGACGGACGCGGCCGGCCGTGCGTCAGGCGCTGGCTGCTAAACCCCGCTAATGCGGCTGCCGGGACGGGATCAGGCGGCGCCGGGCGCTGGCGCAGGCGGGCTCAGGACCCGCCGCCGAGCCGCGCAGCCAGCGGCGCCCGACTTTAACAGCCAGCGGCAGGCTTTGTTACGCCGCCGGTGTTCTAAGCGGGTGCGCTTTCGCACGCGCGCTGCTCGGGTGCAGGCAACGCGCCGCCGCTAACATCAACACGCCTTTTCGCCGGGGGAGACCGCCGGGCAAACAACTCTGTTAGCCCCAATGCATACATTCATATCGCTCAGGCAGACGAGACTGTCGCGTAACCAGCCAGGAGAGCACCGCGGAAAATGTGCCTCAGCGGGAGCTGATGCGGGCGGACGGGGCGGCCCGGCGGCTGCAGAGCAACCGCAGGTGGAGTCAACAGGCCACCCGTCACCACGCGCTGCACGGCCGCTGTGCCACCCACCTGGGGATGTTGAGGAAGAGTATGGCGTGCACCTTGTGCTCGCGAAGCTTCGGCGTGATGTCGTGGTCGTCGCAGACGATGGTTACGTGCTCCGAGAGGTCCTTCCACCGGCGCTGCAGCAGGTCCTTGCCGCCCGCCTGGCCGTAGAACATCTTGTTCCGGAGCCGGGAGCTGAACTTGTCGGGTCGAGCCTCTGTGTGAGCAGACGGGGCACGCCGTCAGCACGGGCCATCAAGAGGACGGACGCCGACGCCATCAACGAAGAACCAGCGGGGCGATCACACGATCGCTGCCAGTCGGCGGGGCTGATCAGGCGCACAAACACCAGCCAGCGGCGCGACCGAACGGACAAACACCGGCCAGCGGCGTGACCGAACGGACAAACACCAGCCAGCGGCGCGACCGAACGGACAAACACCGGCCAGCGGCGTGACCGAACGGGCAAACACCAGCCAGCGGCGTGACCGAACGGACAGACACCAGCCAGCGGAGTGACCGAACGGACAAACACCGGCCAGCGGCGTGACCGAACGAACAAACACCAGCCAGCGGCGTGACCGAACGAACAAACACCACCCAGCGGCGCGACCGAACGGACAAACACCAGCCAGCGGCGTGACCGAACGGACAAACACCAGCCAGCGGCGTGACCGAACGAACAAACACCAGCCAGCGGCGCGACCGAGCGGACAAATACAGATTGCCGACGACGGTCGCACCAGCGAAGCCGATGCACCAAAATTAGCGGCGCGAACACCGGTCATCGAGAGCGCAGTAGCGACGCACCAACAAAACACTTCTGTCGAAGCTCGCGAGCATTTCAAACGCCTTGCACATTGGGTCGTATAAAGCGAGGGTAAGAAGCTGCAGGCGTACTATGCGCTCCACTCCACTAAATCACCCAGCAGCGTTCTGCCGCGCACTGCCGCGCATCGAGGGCGGGCCGCGGCTTTACGCTCGCGGCCGCACGCACGCCGCTTCCGCCAGCCAACGGCTGAGTGCGCCGTACGCATTCAACTCAGCCAACGCCGGCAAGCCTGAGCCGTCCAGACGCAACAGCATTGCTGTCTACCAATTATTTAGGTACGAGACCACAAATCAATACCGACTGTCAATTACCCGCCCTCCGTGAAAGTGTCCTTTGCGGACGCTTTGCAGGCAAAAAACACCGGCTATTGGATTACGGAAAGAGCACAGCCGCCATGAAAGGAACAACGAGACGAGGTAGAAATATACGACTGAATTATGACCGCGGGTCTAACGGATGCCCCTGCGCAGCACACAATGAACACAAATGAGCGCAACACATAAAAGCAAAGTCCGTCTCGATGAATTCAGCCTTCTCATTGTCCGCCTGTCGATAGGCTGACGCTCCATGCTCTAACGAGGCATCACACTGAACGCAGCCAGCGTCGGCGCTGCATTCGTCATAATCTTGGTCACGCGTACAGCACCCTGGAAAGGTAGCCGTCCCTGGCATTCCAAGCCAGGCCTGCGACCGGTCGCGGCCTTTGCCGCCGCCCCCGCGCTGACGCCAGCACGCAGATCATATCCACCTCTCGCTGGCGCCATCTGGCTGATCGGCGGACTGTGCAGCGGATGTTCGTTCCCGCGGCGCCGGCGACGGACGCTGTCGGCCATTCCAGTACGCTGCGGACACGGAGACAGCTTCGCGAGCGGCCTCCCGGCGCGTCCCGCTCACGCGTAGTGGGCACGGGGCCCCTCCCACTGGACCTCTAATGCCCCCCCCCCCCCCAGCCCCTGATACCGTCTGCTGACATCAGCTGCTGACAATTTCACCAGATGTCCGTGCGTGGGCTCTGTACGCACGCAAATTTCACGCCATATCAAGACGTGCCCCCGCTTGCGTTCGTGTCCAGAATATCTCCCGTGAATGTATGCCGGGCGCCACGCTTTCGCGCGTGAGGCCTGAAACGGATACGCTCCGAGGTGCTATAACCTGAACCGGATATCCTCCGCGATGGGCGTAGTTCCCGCTGCCGAGTCCGCCGGCAGCTGATACCTGCGGGCCTGCGTGCGTGGCTGGCTGTCACGACCGAGCCGTCGGCCGGCGGGAGATGATGGCATTCTGAGATGAGATGAGGCGTTCTGTGCGCGCCTGCGTTTTCGTCGCCCCGCAATGAGGCAGGGAGCCGGGTCCAAACAGCACCGGGAGTGCCGCACCGTTCTCGGCTGGCCCGGCGCGGCTGCGGTGGGACGCTCAGCGCCAGCGGCGGCCCTCAGGCTGACCGTGTACCTGTCACATGGCCTGCAGCTGCCGCGGAAGAGCGCACCTCAATGCTGGGAGTTCGCCCAAGCCGTGCGCAGAGGCGTGGGGTCGAGCCTGGCTGGTAAACTGGAGCTCCCCCCCCCCGCTCCTGTCGGTGGGGGAGAGTGCAACGCCAATGAAGCTAGAGCAGAGGTAATAGTCACTGTAGCACTGAAGCAGTCCTGCGCGCCGTCAAATATCACACTTTACAGAGAGTGTCCAACATTTCGGTAGGGTTCTAAACTGAAATAGTCATCTTGAGGATCATTCGGTGCAGTTCACAGCCCTACCCTTCTTAAGACCTAATCTAGTTTCTGACATACACGCCCGCGAAAATGAAGAAAGTATATCGGGGAGAGTATTTCCAAGTCACATGACATTTATGACGTCATAATAAGGCCACTCAATTTCTGCCATCTCATAAGCCATGTGGCGATCAAGGCTGAAAAATTACAATGGTCGAAACGCTTATGTCTGGCGTTTCGTGAGCACGATTTCCAGATACAACGGCCGTCAATCGGCTCTCAATCAATGATGTCTAATGCATGATGGCGTAGTCAAACAATGACGCATCGAGAAACACTTTCACTAAACAAAGACTTTGTGTTGTCTTGAGCAATCGTTTCTACTTAAAAGGTATACCGATAGTTGTATGTGAGCATGTTGCATCGTATCCGATGCTTGTCTCAATATCTTCAAATGTGAAACACTCCCTTTAGCGACCGAGTCAGGCGTTTGGGGGCAGGCGGGAGCCAGCCGGCACGTGCACCTAAGCGCCTGAACGCTGCACGGTGGTCAGGCCGTCTCAGGTGCGCCGCACCCGCGGCAGACGCGGACTCTGGCCAGCCTTCCTCCGGCCGCGTCCCATCTCAACGAGACCAGAGTATTGCGTCGCCGCCCGTCGCCCCACCTCGTCCGGCGACAGATCAACGAGTGTTGGTCGTCACGCGCGACGCAAATAACGCTACACAAGCTGGTCTGGCCGCCCCCAGCCACGGGCCACACTTCCTCCTCTTCAGTGGTCATAACGCCGTGCCAGGCAGCGGCTGCCTACGGCCGTAGCGGCGGCCAGCACAGGCGCCTGGTCTCGCTGTCATGCAAATGTCATTCGCATTCGCACTCCTTGGGTCCGGAGAAGTCGCGTCGATAGTTATAAGTTACATAGTTTCGTATCCGTTGAAGACGTGACCAAATCGTCCAATGAATAACGGCGAAAACCACGTATGCTATGTTACGTTAATTTAAAAGTACGGGATGTACGTTAGCGCATGTGCGACTCACAGAATGTCAGATGGGCCATCAGATGCCAGAGCTACGCACGGAGTTCTCGCATGATTCCTTCCAGCAATATCGCTATGGACGGCGACAGATAACTCACACTGGGCTTGAGCATCAGTCAGGCTCATGGAAACCTCGGCATTCCACAAAGGTTTTCTCTTCCCGGATTCATCCAGATTTCCGAGCTATTCTAATAAACCGCCATTCTCGTATCCGACGTTCTGGCTACGAGAAATAGAGCAAAAGGGATAAGGAAAGAACGCGAAATGGTTCCTTCGCTAAGCTCGGGCCATATATTCCTCTCCATAATGTGGGCGTCACGGCATTTCCGCAGCCGAGAGCATGGAGCCAGGGAAACTCGGTGTTTATGTTACAGATGCTCCCCCCCCCCCCCCAAGCCCTCGTTGATACTCACTAAAACAACTTTGATGCATTTAATCGAGTCGACGTGCTTGAGCTGAATGCTCGGAGGCATTTCCTAACAGGAGGCCCCAGGGACAATCAGGCTCGCCCGTACTTAAACGAGAGCCGTCAGCCGCGGTAAAACACCGTCCCACACACTGCCCCGGGTCCTAGAACCCTAGCTCGTACCAAAGCACAAACTTGCAGAGCTGTAGAGTGCTTCCCTCGGGCCCATCGGAACGCTTTCGGGACTGCATAATCGTTCGGCTCACCCCCTCGCCTGAGCATGCATATGGCTGCACGGCTGTTCCAGTCTACGGGCCTATGGGCGCCATATGACCAACGTAGTCGGTGCGCCCAAGGCCCAAATCATCATCATCATCATCATCATCATCATCATCATCATCATCATCATCATCATCATCAGTCCACGGACCGGCGATTTCAACACCGCGCCTCCCGCAATCGGTTAACGTTGCAATGCAGGAGCCCCGTGACCCCTGACTCACGAGGCAGTCACACATCCGTGCCGAGGCAGTGTCAGCCGAGCCGCGATCCTTACTTGCCTGTGTTTTATACGTCTGGCCATCACGTAGGTGCAAAATATTTGTTTTTCATCTTCAGCAAGCACAGCCGCCGGCTAAACCCGAATGGAACAGCCGCCCGAATAGGATAGCAAGGCTGCCTTGAGCGCAGAACACCCTCCGGCACAGATACGGAGGTGAGTGGATCCCATCCGTAAACGGCACCCGCCTACAGCCGCCAGCCCAGCCGCGGGGAGTTTGTCTCGAGCGAAGCTCCACATCCCAGCCACGTGATGACGTCACGGGTCACCGAGCGCCGGCGGCGGGCCGTGTCGACGCGGAGGCGGCGGCGCTGGCGCTGATTGGCCGCCTGCCGCGCCCCGAGCTTTCGGAGCGCGCCGACCACCGCAGCCGCGCCAGAAATAGCCATCCGGCAGCGGCAGACGCGACACCTCGGCGGCGACCAGGACGGACGCGACCTTAGCTCTGCAGTTGGGGCCTGCGCCGCCACCTGGCCCCGGCAGATCGCGCGGGCCGTCGGGCCGGGGACGGACTACGCTGGCGCCCGGCGCGTCGAGGCGACGGCGCGGCGAGCGGCGCGGGTCTCGGCCACGCCACTGCCGAGCGCTGCCGCGGCAGCGCGGTGCCATCCCTCTCGGATGGCGTCGCGCCCAGCCAGCCAGGCGCTGCGTCGGCCCGTCCCAGCACACGGTCCAGCGCGCGCTGCCGCCGCGGTCGCCGCGACGCAGACGGCGATCAATCGGAAACCTCATTGAACAACGCCCCAAACCGGCACGAATAGCCGGACCGCCGGCAATGAATGAAAGATCCGACCTGGTGCTAGCCCCGCCACGCCAGAGGGCTGGAGGGGGAGCCCGGGTGTGGGGAGGAACTGAGAGCCAGGGTGCGAGGAGGAAGGGGATCTAGGGCGTGAGAGGTAGGGGATCTAGGGTGTAGGGGAGGCAGTGACAGTCAGGATGTAAGGAGGTGGTAGTGCGAGCCAGGGGATGTGAGGAGGAAGCGGGGAGCCAGGGTGGAGGAGGCGGGAGAGACCGGGTGTGAGCAGGCAGTGCAGCGAGAGACCGGGATGGGGAGGCGATAAGAGCAGGAGGATATAAGCCGGGGGAGACGATAAGCCGGTGGAGACCGGGTATGGGAAGGTAGTGAGAGGCAGGGCGTGTGGAGGCAGTGAGAGCCCGGGTGTGAGAAGGCGGGGGTAGCCGGGGTGTGGGGAGGCACAAGGGTCGTGCGTGGACAGGACGGTAGTGAACGACCCGGGAACGCGGCCGAGGCTGGGACCTGGGTAGCGATGGTGACGTCAAGTAGCCGTGGCGTGTTCGACAGCCGCAGACGTGGGAGCGCCGGTCGTCGGACGTGGGAGCGCCGGTCGAGCCCACCGCGCACCGATTATCTCCCACGCACATTCCTGACACGTAGAACGCGCTCACAAGATGGGATATCAGCACAGACACTCTCGGCCGCATTTAACTCCGAGCACATATCCCCATCGGCCCGTGAACGCCCCTCGGCACACGCGACTCCATACGCTTCATCCGCGGGGGTTCACTGACCTCTGGCCTCGTGGAACTCGAGCGCAATATGGGCGTCCACGCCGAGCGAGAAGTAGTTGTTGATGACATTGAGCGGCAGGTTGTCCTTGCCCTCCTCGCTGGGCTCAGCGCGCTCGTTCTTCTGCACGGCTGCCTCCCACCGGTCCAGCTCCTGCGACTCGCCGTCGCTAATGTTGCACAGTATCTTGGAGATGGGCTCGTCCGTGTAGCCCTGCGGACAGCGAGCGGGCGTCAGAGCGAGCAGAAGCCAGAGAACGGGGCAGAGGTGGGTCGACTCCGGCGGCAGGGCTCACACTGGAAGCATCGCCGAGCAGCTTCCCCGACTAGCGGAATGAGCAGAGTCCATGTGCTACTTGGACACGGTGGCGGATCACGGATGACGGGTGACAGATCACGGATCACAGATCACGGCCAGAGATAGCAGCCGCATTGGCGGAATGATCTGTGGCAGGTTTGGGTTCACACGACCGCTACCGAAATACACGGCTTCCTGGAACAGCGCAGGAGCCGGGCGGAGCCTCGCAGTCGCTCTGCAGCTTCCGGATAACTCGACGCTCCAAGACGAAGGCAAAGGGTACCCCGGTGGGCGGGCGGGGGGCGCCTCATCACGCCACGCCCGGGCGGAACCCGAGACAGGCAGGCGGGCCCGCCTCAAGCGGGGACCCGTCAGCACTAGCACTAGCACCAGCACCAGCACCAGCACCAGCACCAGCGCCAGTACCAACACCAGCTTCCCCACAGCCCACCCCAGTCGGCACACAGAATGAGTCCACGTCCATCGACACGTCACCAGCTAGCCGCCGAGCGGGGAGCGGGGGAGGGGGAGGGGGGGGGGGCATGCCGACAGACTGACATCGAGGAAACCCGCCAAGCCGAACAAGTCGTCCTGCATTGACCGTGACCCATCCATCAGAGATAAAACCACCTCCCAACCGACGCAGCACCGAAACTAAGCTTCTCCCTCAAGCACAAAAGTCTACCGAGAGCATCTCCGTTCACCCCTCCCCCTCCCCCTTTCCGTCAGCTGCAGACTGCTCTCTCGCCCCTCCCCTCTCCTTTCCCAGGCCGAGGAGCTATGTCGCGGAGGAGTTCGGCTCGGAAAACGGCTAATCGTCGGGGGCGTCACGCCCCGCCGCTCTCACCGGCCGTGGCAGCTATCTAGTAAATTATAGCCTAATGACACACATTGCATGGCGCTCATTTCCTCGTTTGGACCATTCGATGAGAGCGCATTAAATTTCCATCCAAACTGCACAAAATGTGGCTCGTGCAGGACAAATGGCCTCGATCACGCGCCAAGTAAGACCATAAATAAGACTGCAAAATGCTGCCTTGAGTGAGAATACCTGTACAATGCGCCGTTCCCTGCAGTTGGTGCGCGCCGTCTTTAGGCCGCGGGCGGAATCGTGACACCGCTGCGAGCGGGCTTGCTGTCTCGCCATCGCTCAACTTTTGCCCTGAGCATGGCTGCCGGCAGCTACAATCGCGGATTTCCCCCCTCTAGCCTCGGCAGAGGTTAAACCCCGCTCACCTCGCTGACGCAAGGCGTCGAAACAACGACACGTGACCAGGCCTGCGTCCTCTAGCAGCTTCCCATCTCATTCGGCCAGATCAATACACATTACATAATGCGACGGAGCGCGCGATGTTACAGCTGGCTGGCATCGCACCCGTTGTTGATATGGTGGTAATGAGCCATAATATAATGTACCAATTGCCAATTTCGCGTCTGCGTGCAACGATCACAAATGTCTTGCGCCTACTGACTGAGGCACGCACAACATTAGCGGACTTACGACAGATTATGACCGGAAATTAACACAAATTCATCAGCTGGGCCGGGCGTCGCTGGAGCTAGCTTTTGTCAAGGAAGCCTGCCTAACTGCGGGAATATCTCGTTTGCGGCCCAGTAAGGGCGCCAGTAACCTGTTAACCACAATTCTGCTCTCAACGTGCCTCTCCCACCCACTCACACGACACCCATACACACCCTGATGACATTTGCAGGCGTCGGTCTCATTTTGCCCGGCCGGGCCTCGGCGGGCAATCGGCTGCGGTGAAGCCCCGAATTCTGTCCTCGCGCCGCCGTTCTGAGGCACCTAGCACTCAAAGTAAACAGCAGCGGCCCCGCCCCACGGGCTATGTGTTCCATCAACCAGTTCTAGCATCTCGGCCGCAGGCCCGATGTCCCGCCGTCGTCCCGGAACCGGTGGCCTGTACCGGCGTGCCGGCGGCCTTGACCTGCCGAGGTAGTGCGGATGCGGTCTCCTACCACACGTCAGCGGCTCTCATTGGCAGTGGCGGACCCCGCTCGCCTCGGTCGTGTCCGCCGGTCTCACCGACCAGCACGCCACGGCTCCCACTGGCAGCCGGCGGACACGCTTGCCGTATCTGCCGGTCTCTCCGACCAGCACGCCAGCGGCTCCCATTGGCAGCCGGCGGACACCGCTCGCCTCGGCCCGTATCTGCCGGTCTCTCCGACCAGCACGTCAACGGCTCCCATTGGCAGCCGGCGGACCCCACTCGCCTCGGCCGTATCTGCCGGTCTCTGACCAGCACGTCAACGGCTCCCATTGGCAGCCGGCGGACCCCGCTCGCCTCGGCGTATCTGCCGGTCTCTCCGACCAGCACGTCAGCGGCTCCCACTGGCAGCCGGCGACCCGCTCGCCTCGGTCGTTGTCTGCCGGTCTCTCCGACCAGCACGCCAGCGGCTCCCATTGGCAGCCGGCGGACCCCACTCGCCTCGGCCGTGTCCGCCGGTCTCTGCGGCGAGCACCCTGGCCTGGCGCCTGTGGCGGCCCGCGCCAGGGATGCTGATATCCGGCACAACCACGTGACCGGCATCTCGGCAAACAGGTCCACGGAGCGACCAAATGGATGGCGCATATTGCGCGGCTCGCATTACTGCCCGGCCTTTGATCTGCATAATGGTGCTGATCAAAGGTGGCGCGGGGTGTGCAGCCGCTGGCCGTTCATGTGGGAGACATGTGTGGCTATTGGATGACATCCGCGCCAACGACGGCGAGGAACGCACTTCAGATGAAAGCCAGTGGAAGTTCTGACAGTTCACCTGGCATAAAAAGCCCAGAGCGCGTTGCGCAGCCATTCACTCGATTGCTGGAACAGCTGCATACCCCCGCCGCTACGCAGTTGAAAACGGCAGACTGATGTATCCATGGTTACTGCCGGTGCAGCGCGTGCGAGACTGAAACGCTGCCGACGGAAGCGGCCCGCACGCGGCCATCGACCGTCACCCGCCGGCAACAGCCGCTGGGACGTCTGCAGCACACCGCACTGGCGGCATAAGGTCTGGAACACGCAAACAGAGTCGCACCGGCCTCACCCAGCGCACGCCGATGGGCGGCGGTCCTCACAGACTGGCCGGACGCTGCGGGAGCGGCGGCGGCGGCACACCCCAGCGCGGGCCGCTGGGAACGGGCGCGAACTGGCCGCAGCCGGCGCCGAGGGCGCTCCGGCGGCCACCGAGTCAGAGGGGGCGGTCTTAACGGCTGGCCCGCTGTATCTGCATGGGCTGCGATAGCGGTGGAACGGCCGCTGACGGTCGCTGACGGCGTCCGACGGCCATCGACGGCCACTCGGCAGATGGCGGCCGCGGGAGCGGGTCAGCCGGTCCGGACGGACGAGCCGACACCGCGCCGCAGAGGTCAGTGCGGGCACGGAGGATGATGGAAGACGGGCACGGGACGGGGCCAGCACGCGACGGGCACGGGCTTGGGGTCGGGGTCGGGACGGGGACGGAATATCAGCGTAAGACAGCAACAGCGTGAGCAAGGGGGCGAGAAAGCGATAGCGAGAAAGAGAGAAACAGGGTGCGGAGAGGAGAGGAAAATGAAGAGAAGAGAGGAAAAGATGAAAGAAGGATACGGAGCTGACAAGAAAGGAGGGAAAAGGAAGAAAGGAGAAAGAGAAGAAGGGAAAGACAGTATGCATACATACACACACACACACACACACACACACACACACACACACACACACACACACACACACACACGCACACGCACACGCACACGCACACGCACACGCACACGCACACGCACACGCACACGCACACGCACACGCACACGCACTCGCACACACGCGCACACACACACACACACACACACACACACACACACATATATATATATATATATATATATATATATATATATGTACAGAGAAGACAAAAAACATACAAGACGACTGGAAGAGCAAGACCACGGAGAGGAAAAGCGCGACAGACCGATCGCAGAAGATGTCAGAGCAAGTCCACGACCAAGCGACGAGGCGAGCGGCCCCAACAGCCCTTTGGACTGACGTGGATCCAATATCGAGCCGTGATTGCCGCGACCAGGGACCGGCGGAGAACACGGGAAGTAACTTGGATGGCGCGCGTCCCCGCACGCCTCCGCGGCCCAACTGCGCCGCCAGCAATCACGGCGCAAATGGTTCTGCTGTGCACCACGTCCGGAGCCTTGTCTCGACCGGAAGGATCTCCAGATTGGCCCGGTGGCCGATCGATGGCCGGCCGGGAGAGGGCCGTCGGTCGGGAGGAGGCGGCGTGTGAGGGCGCGGCCCACCGGCCGGACGGCACGCCGAGCCGGCGCCGAACGGCCGGCCTGAGGGCGACGCTGGGGCGTTAAAGCGCGCCCGGTTGTGGTGCAGATCGCTGGGAGGGCGCCCGGCTGCCGTGGCGAGACGCCGGCCCGCGGGGCGGCGGCCGACGATGCCAGCTGGCGGTGCTGATTGTCAGGGCGACAGAGAATCGCTTGAGGTGTTACTGGGAGTTGTGTATCAAACTCGGCGTAACAGACGCATTGGTGCGCGGTATGCAATCAACTTCTGCAGACTATTGCAGGACTTTAAATCCTCGACGGCCATTGTAAGCTTTCATTTCACAGCAACGAGTCGCACAAAATGGCTGAGACGCGACAGCTGGCTTTGCCCGAGCCAAACGCCAAAACAGCACCAGGGTCATTTTGCAACTAAACTCTGCCCGTGTCCTCTGAAGAACCACTTAGACTGTAGGATCATCCTCGGAAGAATGAGTGTCGGGCAGCTTCGGATCTCCCCGGAGGTCCGCGAGTGAGGCCTGATTTGGGGAGAGAGGGGATCCGGACCGGGGACAAGGGATGCGGCCCGTCTGCGCTACAGTCAGCTCGTCGAACACTATAACATCCAAAGTTCCCCACGTGGTGATCGGCTGAGGGTGCACTGGCCACGGCCGTGTCAAAACTTTGGCGTCTCTCTGCAGTATGAGTACCGCGGCCGGAGCTTAGTAAGTGGCCGACAAGGCGGCACGGACCGTGTGCGGAGCTTCCCCTGCCGCTTGGTACCGGGTTAACCCCACTCCCGAAACGAAACTGACGGGGCGGGACTCAGGGCCGACCAGCGCTGCCACTGGTGCCGGGCTCCCGCCCCGACACTCCCCCAGCCCCAGCCGACACCCACACTCATCTCGGCCTCAGCCGAACGGCCCGACACTCCCCCCACCCAAGCAGAGCACCCGGACACTCACAGTGCTCCAGCCGAACGGCCCGACACTCCCCCCACCCAAAGCAGAGCACCCGGACACTCACAGTGCTCCAGCCGAACGGCCCGACACTCCCCCCACCCAAGCAGAGCACCCGGACACTCACAGTGCTCCAGCCGAACGGCCCGACACTCCCCCCACCCAAGCAGAGCACCCGGACACTCACAGTGCTCCAGCCGAACGGCCCGACACTCCCCCCACCCAAGCAGAGCACCCGGACACTCACAGTGCTCCAGCCGAACGTCCCGACACTCCCCCCACCCAAGCAGAGCACCCCGGACACTCACCCCGCCCCCGCTAACATCCAACGCTCACCTCACCCCAACCGACAGCTGGCATTCACCTCGCCCCCGCCAAGCCACTCCGGCACTAACCTGACCCAAACGAGCGCGCCGACCTCAACCCGCCGCAGCCGAGGGCTCCGACACTCACCCCGCTCCAGCCGAACGGACCGACACTCACCCCGCCCCAGTCCAGCGGACCGGCACTCACCCCGCCCCAGTCGAGCGGACCGACACTCACCCCGCTCCAGCCGAACAGATCGACACTCACCCCGCCCCAGTCCAGCGGACCGGCACTCACCCCGCCCCAGCCGAGCGCGCGCGCCAAGTCGTTGCCTGTGCCGAGCGGCAGGACCGCGATAGCGGGCGGCGGGCTGAAGTTCATCTGGTCCAGCACGGAGAGCACCCAGCCGACCGTGCCGTCGCCACCACACGCCAGCACGCGAAGGTTCGGCACCTTGCGGTACATCTCCAGCCTGCGGCGAACAGACGCACACTTTCAGGATACGAGCGCGCTGTGGTGCTGTGGTGCTGTGGTGCTGTGGTGATGCGCTGTGCTGATCCCCAGACCGGGGCGTGGCGCGGTACATTTCAGGATACGAGCGCGCTGTGGTGCTGTGGTGCTGTGGTGCTGTGGTGATGCGCTGTGCTGATCCCCAGACCGGGGCGTGGCGCGGTACATTTCAGGATACGAGCGCGCTGTGGTGCTGTGGTGCTGTGGTGCTGTGGTGATGCGCTGTGCTGATCCCCAGACCGGGGCGTGGCGCGGTACATTTCCACATTGGGGCAGGCAGGGCAAGACACGTTCGGACAGCGGTCACTGTGTGGTGCATCCTCATACCAGGGCCACAAAGCAGAACATTTTCGGATAGGCGGCTCGTGGTGATGCATTCCCAAGCTGAACGGGCAGCAGCCTGCGCTGGAGATGACACCAAGCGACATGACTGAAAACAGTGCATGTGGCACATCTTCAGGACAGTACAGGTTCAGAAAAAGGCAATAAGGACGAAACGTAGGTACATTGTAATCTCTGGAAACAGGATCAAAAAGTACCCGTCGTTTGCCTAAGGTCTTGTCTACTCGCGATTTGTCCAGGAGAACAGGACCACGCATGAGCCCACTCGTTGGCTTGCCTCAGCCTTCATGCATCACCTATCGGGGATTTAGCCAGGGTTTTCCTTAGGGGGGGGGGGGCGAAGCTCGGTGAGCACGCATCTCATTGATTGCCGACCTGTCAGGAAAATGTGTACTAAAAATACACTATAGGCAGAAGAGAAATGGCCCTCTGGACTGCGCCCCTGCTACACAGTCATTAAGAAGGATTCAGCCCTTTTGATTTCATCCATTTCTGGCTGAACGTCCACGCTGAATAGTGATTATTGCGTGAGCCTTACCCCCCCACCACCTCATTACGACACTCCAGGTCGACGGTACAATTTTGCGGCGGATGATTGGCGTACCGTAGTGCTCGGCACAGTCTGTCCTCCTCCTCGTCCCCTTATGCCACGTTACCTTTCGCACGGCCGCTGCCACCGGCCGTAGGCAATCTCAACTAGAGCCGAGCAGCGAGCGCCTAAAGCGACTCGAACCCAGCCCGGCACGGGCTGATAATTACAAGGGCATGCGCTCTAACCAACTGGGGTACCGGAACGAACAGCCTGACATGCTATGTTGCGTTTCATCCAAGACGCTCGTCCCGATGTAAAACACACACACACACGCACGCACGCACGCACGCACGCACGAACGCACGCACGCACGCACGCACGCACGCACGCACGCACGCACACACACACACACACAAGAAGCATACCACTCACGCTTCCCCGACATGTTTTCTTTAGCAACAGCCAAGATAACGCAAGAGAGCGACGCAAACACCCACACAACCACGACATTAGCGGTTAGAGTCACGTATGCCATTTGAAAGTTCAACGCCAGATAATGGGACCACGCGAGAGCCACACGTGGTGGCAAATAACCGTGTGAAGAAATGAGCCATAAAATAGTCCTGACTTTGTCAGCTGAAAAGAACTATTGCACGCTGGGGACGTCACCGCTCATGCCGTCGATAGGCAGCGTAAGCAGCATTACACAATTCAACCATGCCGGAAAATTGCACCTCTTTTATATATTGCGAGGATGCCAATATATGTCAGTTATGTACGAAGCTTACAGAAAGCAACGACTACGCATAATGCACAAAATCCTAAAAGTTATATATATATTTTGGGTTTCTACCAAATTCGATATATTCAATTCCATTTTTATACTCAATGCCGTCATTCCAAAAATCCTACCGCTTTTTTGTCGTGAGGATACTGATATGTATCACTTATTTGCAAAAGTGCCATGAAAGCGGCAGCTGCATAACACGAATTTGTTAAAATTGCATGTCATTTGCCATTCATGGTCTAGCTTTTGCAGGCGTTAATATGAACACCGCGGCTAATCGGTAACCCAAGAACAATATCTTAATGACTTAAGGTTCGACAAATTTGGTAACAGAGCACAAATTCACTTGAATCCTTTAGTGATAACCAAATCATGCCTTGAACAACATTGACTGAGAGTCAATTGGCGGCCACTATATCTGGAAATCGTGCCCACGAACGCCAGATATCACTCGACAATGATGTGTTGTTCGGCCCTTGATTGCCGAGTGGCCAGTGGAATGGCAGGATTTGGATGACGTTATTATGACATCATAAATGCCTGGGTGAGCTCGAAATAGTCTGGGCATCTTCGCGGGCGCATGGCTCAAAAACTGGAGGAGTTTAGGTCATACAAAGGGTAGGGCTGTGAACTGCACCAGCTGATCTTAAAGATGGCCATTTCAGTTCAAAGCCCCATACCAATGTGGAAAACTCCCTTCAACAAAACACCTACTCAAGCTTCCTGATGCACTTCACTACATGACCCAGTCAAAATACATGACGCAAAAAGCGATTACCGTACCTTTCAATGAGCAATGTTCTTACTGCTCCCTCCTCCAGATCAAGGGGGAGAGAGACAGCGACTTAAGCCGAATACCACCGTACGAACAGGACGCTACATCCCGCGGCTGTGGCACAATCGCGTCTGACTGGGACGAAACTCACGCCGGCCTCTAGACGGGATCGCGAGGGCGTGCCGCCCACGTCCGTCATCACGTGACCGTCTGCCGGCACGGCGGCTGTGACTGCGCAGCTCGCCAGCAGCGGGCACTGGAGCGGCCGCTGCCGTCCGCGACACCACCGGAGCGGCGCCGGCCGATGCCGCCGCACGGCAGCGCCGGCGCTCCGCGGCCGATCCGGGGCCGACCATCGGCCGCGGTCGGCGGACGACGCCGGCGGCCACAGAAAGCAGGCAGGTCAGCTCCCGACGGCCGCTGGATCGTCGGAGCCCCATTCACCCCAGAGGGCCCATGAGGCCGACGAGTTCCTGGATACCAGGGCAAAAACATCCTGATAGGGCCGCAGGGAAATTGTGTTCCTGAGGAGCGAGCGTATACGGTAAACAAGGCGATGCAGCTTACTTGCTCACTCACATTATTCTTGATGGTGTCATTAGTTGTTATGCCGAGATGCACACAGCCAAAACCTTTAAAGACCTGAAAAGGTGCCTTTCAATCTGAATAAGTGTCATTCATTTCACAACCGTTGAGACCCTAATGACCACAAGTTGGAAGTGCTGCTCGCATTTACACCCCTTTTGGGAATGAATACTGCAATCGCCGAAGTGGTCCTCTGATGTGATGCCTCCCTGGGTGAATGAGTGCTTCAGCGATACTGGTGCGATAACTCAGGGAGCAGGAAACGTCGCGGGCCGGGCGAGTCGCACCTCGGGTGGCGGCCGTTCTAAGAAAGGGCCTTACCCCCGACAGTGCGTCGAGTCGTCTGCGCAGGCGCCGGCCCTACGTGCCGAGTCCATTTCATTTGCAGTGGGCCCGGCCGGTCGTGCGGCCGCCGGCCGGGCGTGCAAACGGTAACGAGCGGCCGCCTCTGCCTAATTCATGACCCAGCCGAGCCGGCGCACCCGGATCTGGCGCCGGCCGAGGCCGGTCAGGGGACGGCTGGGACGGCCCGCTCCGGCGTCAGGTCGATCGCGGCTCGCGGCTCGCGGCGCGGCGCGGCCAGGTCGCGCGCGTCGACGCGAGCCGGGTCACCCGGACGGCCGTGCCGGCGCCGGACGCCAGGGCAGGGCGAGGCACTCCGGCGGGATTTGCGTCACCACTGTTGTCCACTGTGAGCCGGTGGAGTCCGCGAGCGATGCCCTGTAGTCGCCGTGGACGGGCCGAGCACCCGCAGGACGCTCGCGCCGCTCGGTCTTGCTTTCTCCGGCCAATACCGACGGGCCAAACGGCAAAGCTCAAAAGCAGTACAAGTTGTAGAATCATTGTCCAAGCAATGGCGCCCCGTTCGCCACCTAAGCGTGGCACCGTCAACAATGGTGCATCGGGCGATCGCCGTTTACATTCACACGCGAAGAACTGCTCGGCGCGATGTGCCAATCGCTGTGAGTGTCGCACGGAACGTCAATTTGGAAAATACCTAATTTTCGAAACGTCCCGGGGAAGATACAATTGCCGCCGTGAGGCCCCAGGGGCAGTCGAGTCACAAATGGGACGTCACGGACGAGGACGCGGGACACCATCCCGGCACTGCTCGCAAGCGCCCAGCCAAAAGGCGAGACAATCATCCGGAGGCGACAGCTGGCTGCTCCACGGTGACGCAGCCGCGTGGCGATCGCGCTCCGCGTCGCAGTGCCGCGCGTTCACCGGTTTGCTGGTGCCGGCTGCGACGCCCGAGATGCTCCGCTCAGCAGCGACAATCAGCCAGCTAAGGTGTCCTGATCCCGGCCGGCACGTGCGGCGCCCACGCTCGGCCGGCTGCCTCCCGCCGGCACGCACCGCCGTCAAGCAACTGATTGGACACACGATCCCGTTCGACGGGCCGGATTAGCCGGTCGCGTCGCGCGTCCGGTCGCGCGGCACGCCCGTAAGGATCGGGCGCGGAGGACAGGCGGCGGCAGTGTACACGAGCGGAGTGCCCCTCCGCCTCCCACGGCACCGGCGCGCCCGGGGGTCGGCGGTGCTCGCGTGCTCCGCTGCTCACCCAGCCTGAACTTCGTCGCTGATAGTCCGTAACGGCGAAATAGGATTACATCGATTTCGAATTTTTGGTACACGCACTGCTTGCTAGGATCTATTATGAAGTTTTTCAAGAGCGGGCCATCGCATCTTTACCACTAGGTTTTAACAAGCGCTCATGAAGCATAAGGTGCATGCATCACCTTGTTTTTATACTGCCGTTTGGAGTTGGCAGTGAAAAATCGCTACAAGAGAGTCGCAGAAAACGTGTCTACACGTGGGCTTGTTCATGACGCATTAAACCATGCAAAATATCGCGTGAGCCAGCGGTGTTCGGAGCGGTGGAAACATGTTATGGAAAAGACGGCCTGCTACGAAAAGCGGCCTACATGTCCCAAAGTGGCCATATAGGCCGCTGACAGCGGCGGAAGGGTTTCTGAAGCGTCGGCCTGAGGGGTGTACACAGCAAAGGACATTTTGTCACCGCATTGGACCACAGCAACCAACGTTCATAATAGTCGTACCTATGGCCATAAATCGTCTAACCAAAGCTAATGGATGTTGTGTTGCATGCGAAAGGCTACAGCTCGTGTCACTGGCGGACAAGAAATCGCCCAATGCAAAAACAGGCGGCTGCATCCCCGGAGCCAATTATGCTAGATAATGACGCCAGCCCATCAGCACCACTCGACTCCGATCCGCTGACCACTGCTGGCTGGCCAAAGACGACGTTTCCGCTGACCTACCCACCGACCAATGAGGCCAGTTATCGATATTGTTGCCGACCATCACCGTTGCTCAATTATCAAGCCGGTGCAAACGCACACTGTCAAACGTCCCGGCTTAATGGCGTTGAACACGAATGAAGACGTCGAGACATAGCAAAAAGCAGCCGAAGGCAGCCACAGCTTACTTTCACAGGTGTGTTGGGATAGCCGACACAGGTTAGCTCCTTTTGTGCTATATGAGCAAATGTCCTAAAAACATACATTTTCCACCAATGACAATTTTATTAAGAACTGCTTAGCTTTCTTTCATCCATAGGCCAGCAGTGTCACTGGGACTTAACGAAGCACTCAGCCACTGATGCTCTATGCGTCCCCTGCCTCTCACTAGGCAGGACGGGCAAAACAGAACCTCTTACCTCTGGCTTCCCATACCCGCGGCTTAACCACCATACTACCAGTACCTATCCGGAGACGGCCCTGCCCAACAGTGGTAGTCCCTTAAAGGCTGTTCTTTCCCTGGGATGGCACTAAAGCTTCTAGACAGCGTCAGTTCGCCAGCAGTCCCTGAAAGAGCTAGGGACTCTGCGTATTCACGAGCCCATCCGGGACGTCTTTTCATTCAACCAAAACACCGGGATACTTACTTTGCGTTTCAGATTCCCACCCAGACAACCGTCTATTGTCAGTAAGGAGAGCCTATTGATCACCTTTCAGGCTAATCTGCAGCACTAGCTTCTTCACTTGAGGCAAAACCTGCTCGTTTCACTAGGCTCGCTTCAGTCTGCAGTCCAACATGACTGCCACATTCCGCCCGTGCTATCAACTCAGCGAGCCCCTCGTCGTGCGGCACACCCCACCTAGCCCCCTTGTGGTGCGGCACACCCCACTGAGCCCCCTTGTGGTGCGGCACACCCCACTGAGCCCCCTTGTGGTGCGGCACACCCCACTGAGCCCCTCGTGGTGCAGCACACCCCACTGAGCCCTCTCGTGGTGCGGCACATCCCACTGAGCCCCCTTGCGGTGCGGCATACCCCACTGAGCCCCCTTATGGTGCGGCACACCCCACTGAGCAGCGTGCCACACCACCAGCAGATATCTGAGGCTTACAGCTTTCGGTAGTTCAAATTTAACATTTCTCACTTTATTTTCCATCAATTTCTTGGCAAGCGGGCACCCCAGGCAATTTCTAACGGTATTCATGAGCTTTCAAAACCCACTACCGAAAGCGCAGACAGAGCTGAAGCAGAGGGATGAAAGCAGCATATCGCTTACAGGTCATTGCAACTGCCATGACCCACCGGAAGCTCACTTCTGCGTTTCAGCATTACGGAAAGGAGGAGCCTCGCGGTGACGTCATTACGGCCCAGCTCCCCGGAACGCAACAAATGGATACAAACCCCGACCATCATTGTAGCGTCCGTTGTGGGCAATGGCTGGCGGTAATTGCGAACTTCTTAAGATTGCTTGAAAGACAATTAAATTTTGGTGTGCACGCAGACGTTTTTTATGAGCATTACAGTGCGACGGTTAACATAAATCTTAAAAGTTTCCTAGCGTCTATATCTTAGCGGCACGACTTTGGTGGCTTATTTTTGGTTAGAAACGCTTTGCAGATCATTAAAATAAGGTTTTTAAATAACTATATGTTAAAAAATTGCGGTCTGTGTGTACACAAAAGAGCATGCTTATACGAGTAGGCATCATGCCAGACCTACTCCTACCACAACTTGCCGATTTGTTTACACTATTGTAGTGTATGGCAGTTGTTTAGAGCGCCTACGCGCCAGGCACTTGCAGTTGCGCGAGAGAGTTGGCCTTGGGTGGTGGCGTGTGGAAGGGGCGCGAAGTGTTCGGACGCCTCGGACGTTATTGTTGTTATTACTTTTTTTATTACTTTTTACTTTTGTTATTTATTGTTATATTGTTTTACTTTTGTTATTACTTTTTATTGCTGTTATTGTTGTTATTACCGAGGCATTGGGCAAATACTCAAGGTAACACCTGACTTAGTGTTTGGTCGGGCTGTGAGAGCGGACGACACTACAACTATTCCGTGGCATATCTGGAGTAGACGCGACAAAATAAACTTTATATCCTATCAGCCTCCTGTTCATATATATATATATATATATATATATATATATATATATATATATATATATATATATATATATATATATATATATATATGTGGTACCTACAGACCTCACATGCCGAAAAATGGTACACTGTAAGTGCTCCTTGAATTAAATGATTCTCAAAGTCCGCACTGCTCCACACGACATCAGTGTAAACAATAATGGCGTGGCCAGCATCCGACGCCCTCGACCGATCTCCACCGTTTCCAAGCCTGGTATGATCCTGGACTTTGGGTGAAGTTAAGGCATTGGCTGAAAAAGCGTATGTCTAAAAATGTATGTCATACAAAGTCCTCGTTCGTGTTATCAACTTACTTGGAGCGAATTTATGCATCGCGAAAACACTAGTATCCTATTCTCAACTATGTTTTGACATTTTTGCCGAAGTTTGTGTACTTCATACGTAATTAGTTCATATGCACGGGGATATTACAGCGTGTGGGCTACCATGACGTAATTCTTGGAAATAGCTCCGATGCCGGGCAACCTCATGTTTTTGGTTGCCTGACAGCTATTGAATGCGGCGCCGGCTTCCTGCTGGATCGCACGCTTCACTAGCGACGCGGCAGTGCGCGGCCTGAAGATGCTTGGTTCGATTGTCCGGCCACCGAGACGACGTTCCAGGTTAGCGTACCAAAATACTCCATGCCTCCGATGGGAGCAAAGCGCTTTCCTCCGTGACGGTGCCGGACTCACCCTTCTCGCGGTCCGCCCTGAGTGAGGTCGAACACTTGACGAGGGTTGAGCAGCCACTGGAACTTCTGCATCAGCTTGGCGCCCTGGTTACCGCCACTCTTGGGGTTGAGGAACACGATGACAGGGTGCACGTTGGCCGTTGGAATGGGCTTGATGGCGAACGCCCGCGTCTGGTCCTTATCGATCTGCGGTAGGAATGCAGTCGCACGCTGTGACATAAAATGGCCTCAGATGTCCGGTGCTCCGCCATTACATTGGAGTACGTGACACGGGCTATATCCGGGCTCACGCTTCAAAACCAGACGCATTCGTACGCACGGAGTTGCGCAGCAAGTTCGCTGTTACTTTTGATAGCGCAAAGCAACAAACATGCAGAGACATCTAAAAAAAATCGTCGACCTGTCAAGGACGAGCGGGCACAAAAGGTAGCTGGCTGGTCCAGGGTAAGCATTTAATACATCCAGTGAAGCGTATGCCTTTCATTTGGGCTAAGGGAGCCCGAGACTAACACAATCACCAGCATCATGGTCGCGAACACCACGCATCGATTGAGTGCGTGGTGGCGGAGCAGAGCTCACGCTCGTGGCGGAGCGTATTACATTGATCACTAATGAGATGACCCTTGTTGCTGATGTGATTACCACCCACCCGCCTGCCATGGTCGGATGACGAGAAAATGACAGCGCTGGCTTCAGCCGACATTAATACCGAGTTTGATGACGCAAATTACTGAGTGCGATCGATGGCTGAGTGTAATACGATGTGGTGTAAGATGATAAGTGCAGCAGACACGATAGCGTAGTAGCAAGACGTCGAGCTGGAAGAAAGAAGCTAACGTTGATGAAAATGTGCTTATAATTTTGGATAGCATTCGGATTTACACGCCTCAACATTAGCTCTATTGATGTGGATAGAAAATACGCGTCTTAGGTATTTTATATTTCATGTCATGCCCCAACGCCACGCATTGGTGATGTGGGTGGAGGTTGGAGCATCCTAAAACTTGAAACCAAAAAAGCAAGCCTCTGGCATGTAACAGTCTTGGTTTCTTCATCTTACATGAGCCCCTGACATAATAAGACCAGCCTGCTCCAGCCGTGGCTGCTTCCGCATCCGCCATCTTTACAGCTGATTTTCAAAACAATGGAATTCGCTTCGATACAACGATACTAGCGCATCCCCGCAATGCAAATTTACATCCGTGCATACACTGGCAGTTCGTCGCACGAAACGGAAAAAAACTCATAATTTTGATTGCACCGTATATGTGCATGTGACGGGGACCACTCAAGGGGATCTTTAATCTGATTAGAAAAAATGAGAATGATTAAATACCTGAACAGTTCACAGGCAGCACCTACACTAACAATGGGTCACTGAAAAGAGCGTAAGTCGTAGTTGTATTTTATGAAGTCGGGCTGTCGTCGGTTCTAGATCAGAAGGGGGTAGGCCACCTTTCGTGTACCTTTCGTTTATTAGATCAGACGCGTCCGATTTGATCAGTAATGCGGTTTTCTGGAAATTCTTCTGAATAGCTCAAAACTTTGATTTGAGGCAATGCTTTCGGCAGAAGAAATCTGACTGGGCCCCCTACTCATCACCGTGAAAGTAAACTTTTCATTTGCCTTGCTTTTTGCGTGTGCTTTCCGCAATGTTTGCAATGCACTAATTTGCCAAAATATCTTTGTGCTTTAAATGCCACGGAAGCTTGAAAAAGTAATTTGGAAAAACAACATAAACACATGAAGCTATAATCACAACAAACTAGCAAACCGTTACACTATGGCTTTGATTTCCCACTACCGCGTTTAGCGCAGTGGGTCTTTTCGAAGCACACTTTGAATTTGGGAGACAGCAGAGTATCACATGGTTTACAGTGACGCACTGTCCCAAACGTCAACCAATGCGCTTGTCAGTAAGTAGCCCTCGTCACCCACCGAACCATTTGCAAACGTTCATTTGCGCTGACGTCATTCTTACTAGCACAGGTGCCACTTTTAACCGCCTAACCCACAATGTACGGGTTAGAACACCTCAAGGACGGTAACTCTAGCTGCTGAGTTGCTGCAACTGCCGTCGCCATGATGGCGACAGTTGTCATGACGACGGCGGTCGTGACAACTCCAGTTGTCGCGGACCAGACCTTCACTCTGGATCCACCAAGAAAAAAGTGTAGTGCTGTGACTCGACGTTCGGACTTGTCAAGCGTAAGCATGAACGACAGCGTGATTTGGATTCTAAGAACACAAATTAACCTTCCCATTATATCTTGATAGTGCCACAGCGGCACTACCCAGTGTCACCATTATATGTAATTGGTTCTGAGGTTTCACCGGACTATGCTTTTTAAACGCGCCCCAAATGTGGGGCAATCTTTTAAAACTATTCTAAAACCTGGCAATGACCTCATGGCGACAGGTTCCTACCCCACCCGATGTGCGGGCACCAAACTGGCAACGTGGGCTGCACCGACTTGCAACGCCTTCCATGCATGTCAACATTTCCTGATGCTGGCAAAGCGCCGGCGCTATTCGCTCAATTGTCGCTCCGGTGCCACCGACATTCAGTGTCGGCTTGCACCGCACTACTGCATCTCAAGTTCTCACCCATTCCCGGCTTTTCCGACGACTAGAGGACCTCTTCTTGGGCGACTTGCGGAGGCTGGACTTGAAGCTTCCTCTGCGGGGCAGCTTGACGATCCATGACGGCGGCACAATGATGTCCTCGTGAATGCCTGAAACACAGCAGCGAAACACACGTCACGTAACCCCCCACGAGCGAGCGATTTTATTTGCCCAGCGCGGTTGGCTTCCTTTCACGCTTTTCCCCCTGAGCCAGGGTTGCCGCTTGTGGCGGGCCGCGCGCGCCCCACCTGCCCTGCCACCGGATCATTTTCCGTTCCTGTTGAAGCACCGCTCGCTGCAGCCCGTCCATCTGGATCTGACGGCAGCCCCAGGGGGCGGCCAGGCGGGCTGAGCCACGTAATCCTCTCAGTCCACTCGCCTCGATTGTTCCCCGGGGACGAAAAAAGTGCGGTCGCTTTAGTAATGGCTTCGGTGGTGCCGTCTCCTTTCACCCGTGGGAGGAGTATCATCCCTGGACTAGGGACGGCGTCATTTCATTCGAAGTCCCAAAGAGAGCTGGTCCATTGACTTAGACAATATATTCCTAGTTCAAAAGACTAACGGTCCAGCGCAAAATCTATTTGGGGCAAATTTCCTAACCGCAATGTGTGCCTGGGCTATTCCTGAATACGCCAGCCATATAAGCTGCAGTTTGGGCATCTAGAGAAACTGCAACGCAACTAGGCAAATCGTACAATCAGGATAACCAACGCACCACCTTTACTGGGATTATACGAGAGAAACGTTGTGAGCGTGAATGACACAGATACAAGACGCACAGATTACTTGCGCAATTAACATGACTTTGAATTTACCGTTCACTGGTCACACAGACGACCCTTACAAGCAGTGAGTGCAAAACGTCCCAAATATGTGTGTTTCGTGGAGCATGTACGAAGAGACTCGTAACAAATGCTCACTTTCCTGGTATGCAGTCGCATTGCAGCAAAAGCAAACCATCAAATGGCGTGACCAGGACATCTCATGAAAATTCAAAGCTCCCCGCGTGCGCAGCACTACCCCTCAAAACACCACGCAATGCCCAACAGCCGCCTCTGCAAGAGCTGTGCCGCACGGGCCGGCGCCCGAACAAGGGGCGGGGCAGGGGAAGGGGAGCGGCCATTTTGGACGGGCGGCGTGCACCCCACCCCACCAGGCCCCCCCCCCCCTGATGTGTCCAGCACAGGCTTCAGCACACGATCACGTGAACTGTGGACCAACGCCGCCGAAGCCGCCGCGAAAGGGATCTGCACTGGCCCTGGAGATACGGGACATAGCTGACACCCCTGCCCGCCCCCAGTAACTGCAGCAACGTGGACACCCTGCGGGGGGTCAACGGAGCCGGGTTGGGATAATGCCAGAGTAGGGCCATGACTTGGGATTGGCTCCAGCCTGCGATGTCAGAGATTCCAGATAGCATAATGCATAAGTAAGACAGAACGCGGAAGGGAGGGTGCCAGCGAACAGGGTTTGGCTGAGAAATGGGTCAGATGGAGTCAGTCGTCCATCGACTGTTTCGAGGCCAGTTTCAACCCTTATGCCGTATTCGAAATAATTGGGGGCGTCCGTGCTTATCATCCTATTTCTTTGACGACCGATCCACGACCAACAGCAAATGAGGGGCCGAAATGACAGGGAACAGCAAAAACAAGCTACCCACAGACTAGCCCACAGTAGATATTTACTGTTGCAAGTTCTCCGCGATCACGCCCAATGATGCCCAATATCTGACGCGAAATTTACATGAACTACTACACACCGACCTCACGACAGACCCTTCATCTACTGACATCCACCAGTGGAGGCGGTCACCAACCACAGACCCTTCACATACTGGCAGTTACCAGTGGCGGTGGTCACCAACGACAGACCCTTCACATGCTGACAGCCACCAATGAGAGGTGAGGGCGGTCACCAACGACAAACCCGTCACGTACTGACAGTTACCAGTGGAGGCGGTCACCAACGACAGACCCTTCACATACTGACGGTCACCAGTGGAGGCGGTCACCAACGACAGACCCTTCACATACTGACGGTCACCAGTGGAGGCGGTCACCAACGACCGACCCTTTACGTACTGACAGCCAGCACTGGAGGCGATCACCAACGAAAGACCCTTCACGTACTGACAGCCACCAGTGGAGGCGGTCACCAACGATAGACCCTCTACACACTGATCATTGGAGGCAGCCGGTAACGACAGACCCTCCGCACACTGACCAGTGGAGGCGGCCGATAGCGACAGACCATACATTGACAGTCATCAGTGACGGCGGCGGGCAGCCTTTTCCTTCGAGCACATCCCCATCCCCACGACGCAGGGCGAAACGACACAACTTGCCAGCAACGACCGGCAGCGAGCGGGCAAGTTCGGACCTAATTCGCGCCGCCGGACTTCGCCGGCGCACCGAGCCACCGGCCCCATGACACACTGGAGCCTTCAGCGCACCCCGCCGCGACCGGGCTTCGGCATGAGCCGGTGCTCGCGGGCTGGAGGTGGGCGCAGGAAGGTTGGTGAGCGCCGACGGTCAGACAACCAGAGTTTCAATGCAAGCACTTAGTGGGAGCATTGACACATTTGGACATTTCGTAGCCGTTGGTAAGAGTTCATGGAATGGCAACATACTGTCGATGTCTGGTAACATAGGTACATATGTAGATGTATATATATATATATATATATATATATATATATATATATATATATATATATATATTGTATTACTGACCATGTCAGACAGCGTAATGTTCTTGTTTGCTCACATATGTTCACGCAAACATAGGCACTCGGCAGCTGCCCATTGTTGCCCAAATGGCAGCCACAAATTTCAAGCCCGCTCCAGAGCACATGGGCAGTCGGGGGTACATTTTCCTTGCTTACGACGCGCATAGGCAGGCTGGTAGTGTACCAGATTGACAGGCAAAGCTGGCAGATGCCTTCGAACATCACGTCACGTCATGCCACTCACCTAGACTACATTGTTCCTCTAATCGCTGGATGTTGAAGCAGGGCTCCTTGTTGTGGTAGGCAGTCCGGCACCACGAACAACTTATTGCTACAATTTCTTTGGTAGAAAACGAAAGTTTTCGACATAAAGCTCTGCAAAAGAAGGCAGCACACAAAAGTTACATCCCGGTAGAGGGTGATGGTAGAGTAGCAGAGTCGCACACATCGGTAAACAAGCAAAACTACGCGCCGCAGTGGCATTGTATGGAGCTTCTCGCAGCGGGGGGAAGGTGTCGCCGTTGCTCGAAACCCAAACCTTTCAAAATGTCAAACAGAGAACACACAACTCACGCTGACGAATGAATTTTAAGAACCCGCGGGAGCCAGTGCTATGGCTGTGGTGTGAGCGTTGTTCAGCGAGGAAACGACGTCCAAACATAGCCTGACGCTCAGCACGTCAACAGGACTTTAGCGCGAGGTGGCGGGCCACGCTGCTCCAACTGGTCCGACAACACCAGCACCGACGTCAAAGGAACGAGGCGCACGGGCCCACGCCACCACTGTTCCGGCGCGTGCATGCGAGGATCTCGTAGCCGTCGGCGACAAACGCGCGGATGTCACGCAAGGTCGTAACGATCGCCGGCGACAATCGGGCCGGACGGCTGCACGCCGCGCCCTCCGTCACGGAGGCAGCCGCCCCGCCTCACGCTCGTCGCAGGCGGCGGCCCGCCCGCCCTGTGATCAGTCACCGCACGGCTGATGGGCGGCCGCAGGCGATACGCTGTTGCAGGAGCGGCGACAAAGCCGGCGGCCGTGAGCCTGACCGGGCAGATTGTCATCTGCCAGCGATGACGAGCCTGAGTCACCTGAGAAGCAGGCTCAGCGCGTCACCGTGTTTGGCTAACTTGGGCATTCTCCGCATTGCGATTTTGCAGTTCGGTCCTCCGCCATACGGGAATGCGATATTTGGAGGCGACGGACTGTCTCAAAACTGTCGGCTTTTCCAAAGCCCCGAAGCGAATCATTTCACCAGCATTTTCCTCCGGCTGTCATCTGAAGCAGGACCTTGATTAAGGCTCGGCCTGACTGCTCAGCTGAGCTCAACCAGAGCTCGAGTGGAATCGGCGCCGGACGGGAAATCGACCGGCAGCGCGCCTCTGGCTCGCCCTGCTTCAGCCGCGACCCGTGGACCGTAAGCCCGCAGCAACAGCCTGGCGGAGCTGGCGCTCTAAGCGAAAGAAAAAAAGATCAAATGCTGATTTGTTTCGGTTTGCCGTATAGAAAGTAGCGATCAGTTAACATGCAATCAGCTGTCACAAATTCATCTTATTGATTGACACAGCAGGCTGGCTGGCAAAGGAACGCCAGGAAGGAATTCTCGTAACTATCCGCCCATAAATCTTTGACTCCTTACGAGTGTCAAAGAATCCGGCTGCGCCAAGGTGCGTTTGACCGGCCGCGCCCTGCGATTGGTGCGGCCGGCGCCGGGCGGAGGCTGCTCGGTGCCGCCGCCGGCGCAGGGGGACGCCGCCGATGTAGGGGACGCCGCCGCGTCAGGTGCGAGTGCCGGGGACGGCGTCATCACTCAGTTGAAGCGATGGCGACCGGCGAGGCGACGGACAGGCGCCGGCCGCCGCGGCCCGGCCATGGGGAGCAGGCGGACTTTCCCAGCGCCCCGCCGCGGCCATATTTCAGCGGCCGCACTGGCCGGCCGGCGCCGCCGGTGCCACAGGTGAAATGGTCCGGACGCGGCGCAGATGGGCCGCCCCGAGCCGGCACCGCCGCCGAAGCTCCGCTCCCAGAGGCTGAACGCGAAGGGCTCGACGGAGGGGCGGGAGGCGACAGGGGACGGAGAACGGATGGCTGGGAGCGAGGGGGAGGTCATCTCTCCCGTGTCATCACTCCATCCATCATGACCAGTGATGGATGTAATAGAAACGGGCGCTTTGGATGGATGATACGCGTGGAGTAGGATAAACTGAGGCTTGAATGAGGCAAAAGAATGCAGTTCAAAACCGGGAGAATGGACGAGCTCAGATTACGAAGACCCATCGATCGGCGATGGAGCTGAGCAGCAGGGTCAGGGTCTGAGCTCCTGCACACAGCTGAGGGAGGGAGCACCAATGCCGGAGCCACGTACGCACCACCCAGTTTCGGAACACCACAACCTCAGACGCCACGCCGGACAGGGGAACAAAGCGCCCACAATATTCTAACGTTTGTTTTACGCGGGCACAGGGTGACGTGTCGGTGTGCCTCAGACGCAGCGCGGAATAAATACAGAATATCAGTCAGTTCCAAACAGAACTCGAAGAACAATCGCAGCGCAAGTCCCACCGACTGCATCGATTGATAAGCCACACATGAACCCTAATTCGCGAGCACGGATGCTCTACTAACGCACCACTTCGACCCCCCGCATACACGCGGGTCTCGTGACCCCCGTATGACATACGAGCTTTTATTGTGCATTATCAGCATAAAGGGCTGATACCGACGTACCGACGGGACGAGCACGGGATCCACAGACCGCGAATAAAACAAACAGCCGATATGGAGACGGACGACAGGCCTGACTCAGCCACTGACCTTTCCACAGTGTTTACATTTGCCCTTCTGATTCCGGCGATGCACCCAGTGGTGAGCTGTGGCCGTGTTGTCCCGGTACTGCCGGATCCCCACGTCCCTGCAACAGACCGGACACGTGGTGAGCCTCCGCTGCCGCCACTGGCACGCGGCCCTGCCGCCCAGGCCATGCCAGACACGTGGCGCGAGCTGTCCGATCGCGAGCCACGTGGTGACCCTCCGTGCCCCACGCCAGACGAGCGGTAGGCCGCGCGGCGTCTGTACTGACGTGTGGTGAGTCGGCCCCCGGTGCGGACTCGGGGCCGGCTGCCCGGCCCTGTCCGTCAGCCGCGTGGTTAGTTGTCCGGGACAGGGCACGGAGACGTGACGTCGGGGCGGATTCGGGGCCGGCTGCCCGGCCCTGTCCGTCAGCCGCGTGGTTAGTTGTCCGGGACAGGGCACGGAGACGTGACGTCGGGGCTGCGGCCTGCGCGCTCCCGTCTCCGGCGGGCCGTGACAACAGTCAGTTACCAAATACCATTGCATGTCGTTTCTACGCGTTGTCATGTCTACGTCATGTTTGTTTAGAGTAAGGATTAATCATATCCAACAGATTGGGATGGGAATCCACTCGGGTTCTGGGGACTGAACCAGAGGGAGAAACTGATCTTAACTCGTGCTTTGGCACTGATCATGAGAATAAAGTACTTTTCACGACCAAAAGTTGTGGAAACACATCACGGCAAAGCCGCGGGCACGTCCCAACTCCGCCGCGCCAGTTCCGCCAATGTAGCAACAGATGGCAGCACACGATAATCGCTTGCTTCACAAGAGGGAAGGTCAAACACGACCAACAGATGGCAGCACGGGAATGTCAAGCAGTTCACTGTTCGCACAGAGGGCGCTGGTGCTGCGACTGCTCGCGAGACGACCTCTGCCCAGCATCCACATCGCCCACGTGCCACTGTTGTCGGGATTCCCCATTGGCTCCCCTCCCCTCTCCTCCCACAGCCGATCACTGCCACGCGCCTTAAACGCCTCCCGTTACAGACTATGGGAACGGACAGCTGCCCGGACATCCGCCCCGGTGCCGTCCGCAGAAACTACTCCAGAAACTATCGCGACGCATCTCGCCCGATCGATACGCTGGCACAAGGTGTTCGGTGTGGCCAGCGGCCGTCAGTGACGGACTTCCGAATGAAATGCAACACGCGGTGCGCCGGAGCCGTCTCTGAACGGCATCGGTTCCCACCGAAAGTTGGCCAGCGAGTTGTTGGCCATGTTGGCCATGTTGGCCAGCGAGGTCAGCCGCACGCTTAGCCTTCGGGGCGGCGGCGGAGCGGCGTTTCCGATGACCCGTGACGGTCAGAGTGTAGTGAGCAAACACAGCAGCCGACGCTATGAAATCATCCGCCTACAGCCCGGCACTGGGACCTGACTATACTGGACACCTCGGTCGCCAGTGCCCAGCGACTGCAGACCAACCAACCGACCGCCGGAAGACCGCCGTCCCGGTTGCAGTCCCGAGCGCCGTCTCTGATGAGCTTCGGCTCCTCTCGCGCCGCTCACTGCACCAGCTGCCGCCGAGCCGGAGGTCCTCCGGTCCCAGCACCGGCGGGGGTCGCTCTGGGTTCCCGGGGGTGTCATCCGCTGTCACGGAGTTGCGCGCCATCCCCCCCCCCCCCCTCCCCACCCAGGCTGCACGAGCGTGGGCGCCAGCAGACGGCGGCGGTCCGCTGTCGACCGGCACCGCCCACTGCACGGCCATCACTCACGACAAACAGCGTGCGGCCTGCACCATCAGCTGCACGCGCAGACCACCGCCGCCGATCGCCGCTCACAGCACGCGGCCTGCACCATACTGCCGCTGGCCGCCGACAGCATGCAGGCTGCACCGCCTACTGCACACGGCGGGCAGACACCACCGCTCACTGCACACCGCGTGCGGCCTGCACTATCTGCGCTACAGAGTTGCGCGCGTTGAGCCTGTTTTAGAGAGTTGGTCCAAGCCTTGTGACGGGACGACTTTCTGTGGTATGCCTCCACACTAGATCGTGATTGCTGCGCGAGCCCTGACCCCAACGTCTGGACATTCAAATCGGGTTAGCGGCTTAATTTTAGCAGCCAAAGCGTTACGTGCCGCAATACTCCGCACGGTGCGTCCTGCCCTTCGTCAGCTGAACTTTAGCGCGGCTGCATCATCCGGCCGAAGGCCATCTTATTTCTGTTTAAATAGCGAACGCCTGGAGCGAGTCGAACCCAGCCGTCACACGTAAGTGAATCGGCAGGCAGACGCTTTAACCAGCTGGGGTATCGAGAAGAGCCCCCCCCCCCCACGCACACACACACCAATCGAGAGGCAGACGCTCTAACCAGCTGGGCTATCGGGACGAACCCCCTACCCCAGTCCCCCCCCCACCCCCCACCCCCTCCCCCCCCCCAACCCCGCTCAACAATCGAGAGGCAGACGCTCTAACCAGCTGGGTTATCAAGACGACCCCCCCCCCACCCCCACCCCCGCATACCAATAGGGAGGCAGACGCTCTAACCAGCTGGGCTATCGGGACGAACCCCCTACCCCAGTCCCCCCCCCCCCCCACCCCCACCCCCTCCCCCCCCCCAACCCCGCTCAACAATCGAGAGGCAGACGCTCTAACCAGCTGGGTTATCAAGACGACCCCCCCCCCCCCCCACCCCCACCCCCGCATACCAATAGGGAGGCAGACGCTCTAACCAGCTGGGCTATCGGGGCGAGCCTCCCCCTCCTGCCCACCAATCACCAGTACAATATGGAGACAGCCGGAGTACACAAACGGCGTCATCCACAACTAACAGCATAAGTGACGTTCGACAGTCTGTGTGGCGATGGGTATTAGCAGCGCCAGGCGGTCCATCAATTAAGATTAACGAGCATACTACACGCAACGCACACCGGGGAAGAGCCGCCACCTTCCCGCGTACGTCTGGCGCTGTACGCCGCTGTCATTTGCTGCCCCCGGGCGCCTCCCCGCCACCTTCCCGCGTACGTCTGGTGCTCTACGTCGCTGTCATTTACTGCCCCCGGGCGCCTCCCCGCCACCTTCCCGCGTACGTCTGGCGCTGTACGTCGCTGTCATTTGCTGCCCCCGGGCGCCTCCCAGAGCGAGCGTCACTGCCCGGCGGCTGGGCCCACCGCCGACTCCACACCGCCGCACGCCGCTGCAGTCGCAAACATGGCCGAAAACATTCCGGGATTCACCGCTGACGCAGGCAGCATCCATAACACGGCGGCAAACACCGCGGACGAGCCAGCCACGATATGGGAGGGGGGGGGGGGGGGGGGAGCGGCGGCGAGTGCCGGGGGTTCGGCGCCAGCGGTAAGCTTGGTCGGCACAGCCGCCGCCGCCCACAGCCGCCCCCGACCGGCGTTCGCCGTGCAGCAGCACGCACACTTTGAAGAGTTGCAAGTGCTGTGCGCACGCATTTTAAAGGTGCGGGACGTGGGTGTCACTTCATTACTTTGCAAGGGGAGGGTACACCCTCTGAAGTTCACTTGAGCCCCCAATACTCCTTTGAGCCCCCTCAATGCACATGATCAAGAACATAGTACTAGGCGAAAGAAATGCAGACAAACTATCTTAACTATCAGCACACTCAGTACCTAAACATATCATTAATAGTGTCGTCGACTGCAAGGTATGGCAGCTATAAAAGGGAGTACAGGGTAACCAAGATAAAAGGTAACTCGTGTTACCCTCAGCAGTGGCAGGCGTATTTACCGCCAAATTAAGATCAGCGACGGCGGCAGTCATCTGGGATTCCATAGCCGTTAAATATTGACGGTACGATGTGCTCCAGATGGCTCCTAGGCGGTCCGGAATGCGCAACAACAGAACCTACTAAAAGAAGTTGATTGTCCGGTCGATGGATATATATATATATATATATATATATATATATATATATATATATATATATATATATACTATCAATGAGGATCAGCGAGCACACTACACGTCTTGTTCGTACTTGTTCTTTTTCTGTGGCCAACGTTGTTCACTCAGCCCCCTCCCCAAAGCCCCCTCCCCATATTTTAGAAAAGGATACCCCTGTTACGGCGCAGAGGTGCAATCAGGTACAGAGGTACAATCAGGTACAGACAATATATGGCGAGGTACATGTACAGTATAGAACAGTCACGGCTAACCGACAGCGCACCGCTGCTGCCATGATGAATAAGGAGCATTTACGCGATAAGAACAGGACACAATAAGATCCCGTTATGGTTGACGAGCACTGTTGGGTGCTCCTCGGACTCCAATCTGTACAGTGCTCGCACCGACGGAGCCCTGAACGTTCAGCGGGTGAGGTGTATCCGCGCTCGTACTTGTTCTGTCTCGATGGCCAACACACACCGGACGGCCAACTCGTTCACTTTCCGACGCCCACGAGAACCCGGCAACTCCAAAGCGCGGGTGGGTATCTGAGCATTCCGCGCGCACACAAACAGGTGAGGCACTTCTGCGTGAAATGGTGGCCGACGCCTCGCTACGCCTGCGGATAGGGTCAAACGAGCTGCCTTCGACCCTCCAGCAGTAACGAGAGACTGCGCCAGCTCGCGCACTGAGCTCGCAGCATATTGCCACGCATTCCCACCCATCAGCAACATTAATTTCATACATTTGGGCGTGGCGTTCGTTAAGATGTCAGATGTTTAACATTAGATTGGGCTTCGTGCTGCAAAGCACATTATTTAACGTCCGCCCCGCCCATCAAAAAGTCCACGGTCGCCGGCTGCCATTGATCAAGCGGGTTAATCACCAAATTAGTGTGCCAGTGGCCACGATTACGTGAGGCGAAACGTGCCGGCTGCACGACAGGAGTTCGCACCAGACCATCCATGTGAACAGATTGGCAACGTTGACCGCAGTGCGGTCACTGTCACCGAGTCCAACAGATGGCCTCTAGGGCGCGTCGATACAGAAGGGGCGACCTACTTATGGGTGGCACGCGCATGCAAGCCTACAAATCATCTTATCCACAAAAACTAAAACACCACGCTTGTTTTAGAAGAAGACAATTTCCCTTATACAGCTATATATATATATATATATATATATATATATATATATATATATATATATATATGCGTTTGGGTGTGCATTTTTGTGTGAATAGCATTATCACACCCAACATTCCCAGCACATTTGTTAAACAGATTTTCGGACACACGTCTTTGTGAAGTCACGCAGGCAGCAGTAGCATCCCCAACAGCAAAAGGTGACGCCACCATTCGCTAAACCTTTGTCACGAACACATGCATCGCTCGATCAGCAAACACGTTTATTGTCTGACAGGCCGGCAACGCACGCACCAGGGAACTTTCAAGGTAGGTGAATAAAACAAGAAGCCGAATAATCGACGACTTTTCCACTTCAGTAAAGTCCGCGAACTCCATCGAGAAGTTCAACCGAGCGTCCCAAACTTACGCCCGTCGCGGTGATTACCTACAGGAGGAGCTTTGCGTAAACCTCCACTGGATGTACACATACGTGTACACCATGAATACAGAGCACAGCGCACTTGGCATGAGGTGGAGCCCAACGTCCAACAATACGCTCATACGCATAATTTTCATGCAGGCATGGCATAGCTACCACCTACGTTCATACAAATTTCACGCAATAGGGGACGAAAAAAATTATTGATGCAACATTGGTCAGACAGAACGAGCTTCTTTCAGGAACGCTTAGATGAAAAATGCGAGGACGAAAAAACAGCCATGCATAAAAACAGGTGATTATTCCACGCCTTGAGGGGAGCGAAGACCACAGGGCTGAAGAGACCGCCTGCCTGAGAGGCCGGCATAGGACGAAGCACAGAACCGCCGCCTCTCACCTGAACGTGGGCTTGCAGGCGAACTTCACCTTGTCGATCAGGTTAGCTATGCACCCTGTGTGGCAGATGATCTTGCAGGCGGTGCACTTCATCCGGGAGCCAGTCCTCTGCAACGGCAGCAGGGCGGACATCAGACTCTACCCACGCCAGGAGAGTGCCTCCTGCCCCCTCTGCCGGCAGACTGCACCCCGCGGCAGGGTGCTCCTTCGGCCGGCAGACTGCACCCCCGCGGCAGGGTGCTCCTTCGGCCGGCAGACTGCACCCCCGCGGCAGGGTGCTCCTTCGGCCGGCAGACTGCATCCCCGCAGCAGTGTCTGTCGGCCGGCAGACTGCACCCCCGCAGCAGTGTCTGTCGGCCGGCAGACTGCACCCCCACAGCAGTGTCTGTCGGCCGGCAGACTGCACCCCCGCGGCAGGCAGCAGTCCGACACCCAGCCAGCGTGGCAGTGGTAGCCTGTCACATCATCACGCTGGATCAAGCACGCCCCACGCACCGGCCGCGGCCAGGCAGCCGACGCCATGCCCGCGATGTTTTCAACCGTAACAGCACGACCGCAAGGGAAACAACCGCTTACGCTATCGACCGGGCGGCCGCCACAGCGCGTGGCCGATCCACCGTGGGTGCGTGTCGTCGCGGCAGCACCGGGAGACGCCCTCCACCGCGGCACGTCCCGAATCGATGTGCCGAGCGGTGGCCAACTGCGGCCGGTTCAGCCAGAGCAGCGGCGGGCACGATCCCGCCGACCCGGCGCAGCACCCACGCTGGTGGGAGCGCCCTCGCCGGGGGTGGGTGAGTGTTTGCTCCTGGGTAGAGGGCGGCGGCCACGAGCCCGAAGCCCGGGGCATTACCCGCTTGGTTTAGGCCTGGGTATTTGCCCCCGTCCTCTAAGGTCAACGGACAAGTTTCCTAATGGCCTCATAAGGCCACCCTTGAGCCCATCTGCACACAATGTTCGGACTCTTGGAGCCGGGATTTCACGGAGTATTTGGCATCTCCCTCATCGTGGACTAATGGGTCACCCACGTTACCCTGTTTTCCACGACCAGCTGCTGCTCCACATTGGTCACGAGCTTCGGGCGTAAAACCACGTGTGTTTGAAATACCAAGCAGCCTTAGTTACTGTCCCCTGAGACACTAAGCAGACCTTGCGCGGGTTGCCGAGGCACATACACTTGCAAATGCTAGCCCGCGTCAAGCACGCCCCAGAACGCAGCTGGGACCTCAACCCAGGGCCAAACTTGCGCACATTTGATGCCAGCCTAAATGAAGTCCGCCACCAGTCCGGGACCCGGACCTGGCGCCGGAGCTAAGCCCACGCCAGACCAGGACCTGGACCTGGCGCCGGAGCTAAGCCCATGCCAGATCAGGACCTGGACCTGGCGCCGGAGCTAAGCCCATGCCAGATCAGGACCTGGACCTGGCGCCGGAGCTAAGCCCACGTCAGACCAGGACCTGGACCTGGCGCCGGAGCTAAGCCCACGCCAGACCGGGACCTGGACCTGGCGCCGAAGCTAAGCCCACGCCAGACCGGGACCTGGACCTGGTGCCGGAGCTAAGCCCACGCCAGACCAGGACCTGGACCTGGCGCCTGAGTTAACCCCGCGCCAGACGGGCCGGCGCCGCCGTGACGGGCCGCGTTCCTGCCGGCGTCGTCAGCGCCGCCGCTAATGACGTCGAATTACAGCCGGCCGGCTCGTGCCGTCGTGCCGGTGGCCGTGGCGCGCGCCGCACGCCACGGCCACCGGCCGCATCGATTCGCACGCCGTCGGGACACGTGCGACCACCGGGCGAGCGCGGGCCGACGCCGGCGACGTTCGAGCGACGACACCGGCTGGGAGGCGGCGCGGGAGCAGGCGACTGACATCTCTCGGCGACAGAGGCGAGCGCGGGCCGACGCCGGCGACGTTCGGGCGGCGGCGCCGGCTGGGAGGCGGCGCCGGCTGGGAGGCGGCGCGGGAGCAGGCGACTGACACCTCTCGGCGACAGGCGAGCGCGGGCCGACGCCGGCGACGTTCGGGCGACGACGCCGGCTGGGAGGCGGTGCCGGAGCAGGCGACTGACACCTCTCGACGACACAGGCGAGCGCGGGCCGACGCCTGCGACATTCGGGGCGGCGGCGCCGGCTGGGAGCGGCGCGGGGCAGGCGGCTGACGCCTCTCGGCGACAGAGGCGAGCGCGGGGCGACGCCGGCTGGGAGGCGGCGCGGGAGCAGGCACTGACACCTCTCGGCGACAGAGGCGAGCGGCGCTAGGATCCAGTCCGAGCCGCTGGCAGATTAGTTGTGGTCTATGGGGAGGGGGATTTGGAACAGGGTCGAAGTCAAAGGCCATGGCGTGCTCGTTTGCCTGTGTGTCGTTCATTCCGAAGCGTGAGGCGGAAGAAATTGGGGCGAAGATTACCGTCAGGTGAAATGCAATGCACAGGCTTTAACACCTTTTTCACAGGCCTTAACGTGAGCGCACCGTCCCAAGCTGCGTCCATACACGGAGTTCCTAAGACAAGCAGCCGGCTCACGGGTGGTGTTGAACAGTGGATGACCTTTAGCTGGAGCTAACAGGCAAGTGTTATCCTTAGCGCTGATGTGAGCAATATTCGTATCTAACAAGATTACTAATTTTACTTTCGTTCAAATACGTCTTACTCCATGACTTTCAAAACCCTGTCCGTGGCAAAATGAAACCACACCAGTTATTTTAATCGACTAAACTGGTGAATGTACATTCTTTTTTGGATTTTCAGCATTACAAGGGGCTACAACCTGTCTAGGATTCCAAGATGAAAAACTTTTACAAATCACAATGCATAGCAGCATGGCGATGAAGTTCTAGCATGATCTGTGGAGGCATTGAACGCTTCTGCAATATGCGCGTAGGTAACTTTTCAGGGTACACCAATACAAAAATACAAAGTCATTTTAAAATGGAATGCAATTTCCATGAGCAAAACCCAGTTAAAACCACTTCACGACAAACTGTGCTTAACTTTTTCTTATGGCAGCGAGCCAGTACCACGGCAATAAATGTGCCATCTTAAGATAACATGACACATTTGTTCACGTCACCAATCTTGCAAATTCGTTTAAACATAAGATTGTGCGATTTCTTGGTAGGTTCGAGAGCATCTCTACGGCAGAAAGGTTCGTTTACGCTACGGCGTTCCCGGGTTGGCGATCGGCAGGTAATTCACGCCCCAGGATGCCGCTCAGCAATAACCCTTCCTGGGGGGGGGGGGGGGGGGGGGGGATACCGAGCAGTGATCCCTGCTCGAAGGGTGCCACCGAAGGGTGATGCATGTCCGGGAGACGCTGCGAGACGTTCATGCCTGTACGGGAGACGCTACGAGACGCTGATGCTCGTCTAGGAGACGCCACGAGACGCTGGTGCCGGCCTGGCGCCGGCCGAGTGACGGCACCATAGCGGCCACCTGCCCCCCAGAATAATTCAGCCCGCTGAGGCGCCGACCGCGTCGCAGAGCAGGCACACAGCCGCGCCATCACTAATGCACGGTGTTCAATACGGCGGCGGCGGCGGCCGTGCGGTACGCCGCCGCCGGACCGGCCGGTCGGTCAGCAGCCCGAGCCGCCACGCCCAGCGGCGGCGCGTGACGCCGGCCGCCGCCGCCGCAGCGGAGGCGATCGCGGCACGCGTCACAGCCGCCGCCGCCCGGGCCGCCCGTCCGCGGGCCGCCAGGCACCAGGCCGGGAAGAGGCCGCTGTCTGCTGGCGCACGGGCTCCTCACGACGCACCACCAGTGGCACGTCTATTGCGGGATCAATATCGCGGCGCCAGAGCGCATTACACCACAGCAATTGAGGACTGCTCGCATAGGACAATAGTGCACTTAACGGCCAACTTTGCGACGTTCCGAAGTCCCAGGAAGCCGTACGTCACTGAAGGGTGAGGTGTCCACTGAGGCCGGCAGCCGAGGAATGAGTGGCGGCATTCATAGACAATATCTGTGGCCACTAAATGTCATCCAGAGCGTGACTGGGTCAGCAATATTTAACTCGCGGGGGTAAGGTGGAGTGGTGGGGTTGACGGCCATTCGCCTATTCACAACGCTGCACAGTTTAACGGCTACCCGTCGGAACTAGCCTGCAAACTTCTCAGTCAGGGCTTGCCGGTCTTTGAAATCCTCTTCACACTGCTTAAAGTGAGGCAACAAACATTCGAAGCACGCGGCCAGGCACAGAGCAATTCGGGAGGAGGAGAGCGGCACTAGCCACCTCCCTGGGGCGTCAGCGCCACAACCATGGCCCCAGGAGGTCGGAGGGCCATCCAGCTCGCGGGCCACAAGGCGGATGCGTCCTAATGCGTGGCTGCGGCACCGCCACATTTCACGACGCAGCAATATAGGACAAATTTCCGAAGGAAGACTGAAGCATAAAGTGGTGTGTTTTTATCACCTTACGAACGTCATTGCGAAAAAAAACATTTAGTCGCACGGTTACTCAACACCACTCCTTGTTCAGTCACAAAACAGGATTGTCCGCTGGTAACAAAGACATGCTTTTCTGTCTGGGAAAAGCATTCTGCTTGGACAGACAGTCGCCGGCCTAAGTACCTCATACCATACCCGACTCGTTATGTTACGCTGAGCAACGGGCATAAAACGCGGCATTTGGTGCCATACGTTCTAAACTGCCGATACCAATCGTACTCAGCATATTTCCTCCATGATATTTTCGGGCAGCGAAAAACGCGTATTTATATTCCTGGTCAGCTTATTAAGCACGGCCCAGCATGTTAACGCAGCAGCCAGCGCATTCTTTACGTGAGCATTCGCGACATTTCGGCATTGCTTAGCACCGCACCTGGAACAACGCGCCGTAGATCACTGGCATCTCGATTCCCAACGTTCTGCACCGGTCACGCGCCTGACATGCTGACTGAGGTCATGACAGCGCGGCGGAGCACTACGGGATCAGACGTCGCCAAAAGTCGCTGCCGGTGGCCGAGGCGCCGGCCATTTCAGCGCCAAGGTGTGCCGCGCTGGTGTACGGCTCACAGGACGCCGTTCGATTTCCCTCACGTCATCACGGCACCAGACACGCCGAGCAAACAGCTATACCGCAGGTTCAAACCGCGTCCTGGTCCGCAGCCGTTGGCGGCAAAGGGGTCGTGACGAAAGTGCCCACATTGGGCCATGTCCACCAATGCTTCAAAGTAAGCGAAAGCAAGCGATTATATCTAACCAGGAATTTCGTCGCTGTTTTTCTTCTCCCCTCACTTGACATTTTTTTGCTGCGAAAACACAAAGCCCCTTGTTTTTTAAGCAGACCTTTACCGCAAAATCTTCGCAAATTTTGACTACATCGCGTTAGCCGCCCGCGCCACACGCAATCGATAGGGCCATGCTAGCCGCCGGGAATCTATAGCGGACGGGCCGCAGCGCTAACGACACATTGATCTGGTGGGCGGGCCGAGGTGGATTAAAAGCCGGGCTCAGCGTCCCTGATCGGCAGCTGATAGTCGTGTGCTTCCCGTCATCGGAATCCCTTGTGATCCTGCGATGTCAAGTCTAACGGATCACAATCACGCTAGCTTCCGATAGGCATGGCCTTAACTGATACCAGATGTTCCCCCTATTATTATTTTTAGTTTTTTCTTTTCGCGCTCTGTTGGCGCACTGTTCACATTGGCTGAAGCTGCAGGACCGCGGCCAGTGACCCCACTCATCCTTGATCGACCTGCTTTTCAACATTGGGGAAATAATTACACGCACGCGGATAACGAGAGCGCTCCCGACGACTGACGACATATAATTTCGGACGAAAGTTCAATGAAAGGCAGGATGTAATTACAGAGCTACAAACAATGAAAGGCAGGACGTCATTACAAAGTTATATTGCAACGTGACAGTTTGCGTCGCTCTGCAACGGAAGTACGGGATTGACATTTTGTTGATTCAGGCGCTCACTACAATGCCCCGCGAACTTGTGATGTATTGCAGCATTTCAAATGAAATCGATGCGAAAACGACGAAAAGAGCACAAAATGCATTCTATTCACTGATGGCGCCATACAGCAAGGCTTCACGTCACTTTTCCAGCTGACAAACCTTTCCAATCGTGTAATTAGGTGCGAGCGATATGCAAAACTGAACACTCATCAGGTTAGAGACTACATGGGTTGCCGAATCCCTGTTTTGCCATTTGCGAGCTGCCTGCCACATAAGATATGTTACTTTTACATAATCAGACATTGTAATTATTGCATCAACATAACGCCAAGAAAAAAACATCTAAATAGACATCTCAGCCCACTTGCATATTATCAGACACTGTGGCAGGCAATCCGAAACTATTCATAGCCAGGATCACCCCCAGCCCAAAGTGCGCTCTTGATCAGGCCTGTAGTCGGCCCAGCTGTTTCTTCGCTATCTTACCTAAGCACGCAGCAAGTGATCGGCCAAATGATGCAATAATGTATAATAAGCATGTCTGCGTCACCCGCTTGTTGAGATTGCACTGTGAGATCTGTACTAGTGCTGTTCGCTTTCATTAATGGCGTTAGCAAAATTCAAAGGTGACATATGCATTTTAATGGGTACCATACTGTTTAAATACCAAATTTTAAAACTTTAAAAAGCAAACCTTCAATATCTTTAATTAGAGAGCTCATGAACAATAACCAGCAAACAATATTTATGATATGCCTACGTCATCCAGTACACTACAAACCTTAGTCTAAGTGACTCGGTGGTTGTAAACAATATAGGATTTAAGCGATCGCTAGTAGATTTGTTTTGATGCGTCCATTTCGATAATCACGCTCATTTCGTGCAGAAAGCTCAGGCAAGCCTAAGCTCCTGTGGAAACCTATCACAAGAGTTTACGTTTTGCAACTGTATTGGTGTATACTGATGAACATGGCCGGGTATAGCCAACCCAATGTGTGTCTCAGCCAGGGCACATTAGGTGGTGTTTTGGGTTAACAGGTTCCCATCGCAAGCCTTATCAATTAGCATATTAAAATCATAATGGTGCCTAGCCGCACAAAATTAACATTTGACACGGTTTGAAAGGCGAAGCCCTTCTAATTTCTGAGGTACATGCCTGTGAAAATGGGGAAAGGTATATCGGGGAAAGCATTTCCAGGTCTAAGTGGTATTCATGACGTCATAATGACGTCATTCAACTCCTGCCATTCCATAACCCATACGGTGATCAAGGCCGAAGAAAATATAAGCGTCGAGGTGTTCATATTTGGCGTTAGTGAACGCGATTTCCAGATATAAGGGCCGTCAATTGGCTCTCAATCAATGTTGCTCAAGGCACAATGACGTAATCAAACCATAACGCATTACGGAGCATATTCATTAAACAGAGAATTGTGATGCCTAGAACAATTTTTTCCACTTGATAAGCATACCAATAGTTACACGTGAGTTCGTTCTTTCAAATATAATGCTCGCTTGAACATCTTCGAATGTGAAACATCCCCTTTAACTGACATATGGGCATAACGTAGGCGTTATATAAAATAATACCCATGTTATTTTACTTCAATATCTTCAAATGCGAAACATCCCCTTAAACTCATATATGGGCAAAACACAGGTATTATCGTTCTGAGTTCGGGGATGGTCGCCGCTAATTTCAGCGTATGCAGAACCAGTGTTTCAGGAGTAGACATGCTGTATTGCAAATTCACATTACAAAGTCACCAGAACACTTATAATTATGGTGCCAATGTGCCGATTTTTTGGCGAATTTTGCTACAACCTAGAAATATCAAGCGTAACATGCAATTGCAGTCTTGGGTTTTAAGGGAGGGGGTTCTGCGCTGAATTTTTAGGCGAAATTTGCCGCAGCCTTAAGATGTTTAACGCAACATGCATTTTGCAGTCTCGGGTGCTAAGGAAGTGTGTTTTTCTAGCCTTGTTTTTTCTTTAACTAGATAAACCAGTCAGCTTCTTTCGAGTCCTGCAACTTGTCAACCACAACTCTATTTAAATGATACAGGTGTGACTGAAATGTGGTAGCTTGGCCTGCAGAGCTGTCATCGCTGTTCCTTTTTCATGCTTGGCTTTCTTGAGCTCAAATGCGAAGCCTTTTTCTTAAGCCACGCCTTGGCATGGCCTATTTTGCCTCAGGGTCCGGTTTTCATACGCCGTACTCAAGTGTAAGTATAGCGTCTTGCCTGCGGTGTGAAAATATAGCATGATTGACGTCTAATTTATTATAATATTATTCATCGCAACCTCACCCATTGAACGCTCTAATTATGATATATTGGTTTTTAGAAATATACATGAACTTGATTGAACAGTACTTTATTGAGACATGAGTTGCCTTATATATGCATATATATATATATATATATATGCAGTTTTATATATATATATATATATATATATATATATATATATGCAATATAATTACATTACACTACAATTACAATACAATTACAATACTATATATATATATATATATATATATATATATATATATATATACATATATATGCAATATTATTACATCACACTACAATTACAATACAATATATATATATATATATATATATATATATATATATATATATTGTTTAAGATCTAGGATGTGTCGCTTATCCATTCTCAAAAGTAATCTATGGTTACTCAGTTTATGACGGCAAATGACACACTTAAAATCTGAGCGCAAAACACTAACAAATAACAAAAACTTGCCATTGCATTGGCCAGTACTATCCTGTCCCGAAAAAACAAATATTTCTTTATCAACACAGAACACATGAGCATTACACAACGTGTTTGCATATTCAACCTAGCAAATCACACTACTAAATTCTAATGACCCATTCCCGCGTGGTTTTGTCAGTGCCAAGCTCATCGTCTCCGTGATTTGTTTGCGATGCTGCCCCAGAGATGATGCAAAAGTTTGATTGATTTGCAAGCCTAGTGCTGGTGTGTAGTCATGGATGAGTAATTCTTTCAAGATGCTGAGTTTCTGGTCCAGATTCGGAATCGATTTCACTCGAGGGAAGAGAGCACAAGAATGCATGCACGCATTCCGAAAACCAGGACTCCTCGCCGTCAATCAGCTGAACAGTGTGTCCGACATTTACAACTACATTCAGACCAGCGGGTGCGCTTCGGCAAAAAAGGACGACACAACTATGCGGGGTCGTGTGGCGTAACGCCACACACATGCCGTCCGCGTCCGCTACGTGTTATACATAATGTATAACATATATATATGTATATATATATATATATATATATATATATATATATAAAGTTTTCATCACTTCCAGGCATGTGTCCATGTACCCACTATGTCCAGCGGGTACATGAGGCACATCGCGCCGGCTGCTCGTGGGTCCTACTCATCCCGACAGGCAGGATTCCAAGAGGCCATCCTTCTCCCAAAATCGAAGCCAAGCAAAGCCATGGACATCGCGGCTTTTTATAGTGCCAAACGGCGTACTTCAGACCCGTTAGGTCGTCCCCGGTACGCCCATTACGTTCCATTCAAGTGCCCCGAGCGCATAAAACGTGCATTGGGTATTACGCTCTAAGCTGAGAGACCATCTAATGCTGCAATTCGGACTCGTGGTTTAGCCAACCGTGCTCAAAACAGTCTCAAAATAACCACCGCGGACTTGGCATGCCAATAACCGGGTCGGGCCATGCCTCCCACTGATTGAGTGTGTAAAGTGATCGGTAAGACCGCGATGCTAGGCTACCGGCATGCATCACGTCATCGCCAAGATCGCAGTCACATATGAATTTCGAGTAGTCAGCTGCATGAAGCGAAGACTTTTCACCACTTTCTGGCCGCACGGTGTATGCAGCGTGCGTTTGTATTTACAATCCACCATTTGTATACTACATTTGTGCATACAATCCGAGTTAGCGTTTGTATTTACAATCCACATTTCAAGCAATCGATAAACACCAGGAATCGGTGCGTTAGGTAATTTCCAGCCTACATACCCACACGGTAAGCACGGTTTGAAAGCCGCGTCGGTTGTACCTACTTTCGCTTCATGAAACAGGACGCTGGTGGGGCAGGCAGAATTCTGGCATGCTGATCAGTGGGAACTGGTGGGCAGAGGGGAAGGGGGAATACTTACGCAACAGTCCTGCTCGGGCACGTAGCAGAAATCGCCCGAGGCCGAGGTGGGCATCCAGAGATGTTCGCCAATGACGGCTGCCTCGCTCCAGTCACACGTGCTGCGCAGCGTGCGCCGGCCGCCCTCCGCCTCGATCTCGATCTCGCCGGTGGCCGCCTTTCTGCGGAGCACAGCGGGGGCCGCGGCGTCAGCGCCGCCGCTTCGCTGGGCCCCAACACGCCACGCGGCAGGCGGCGGCCGGGGAACGGACGGCAGCGCCGCCCTGGCCACCGGTCTGTCGTCGTCGCCGTCACATTTACGTCCGGGGCCACCCGCGACACGTCACGGGCACGCGGCGGCATGGGCGTCGATGAGATGGGCGCCGACGTGAGGCACCGCAGCATTTCTGTGTGGGCACCCGGCCTTTGTCTTGTGCACATCACACATGCGCCGGGCTGTAACAGCTGGCACGGCTGCTCGCAGCTGCGCGAGCCGGGCGCGCCGGATAATGGACAACAAAAAGCCCCAATACACTATTCAGCGCAGGGGTAATATATTCAGCACGGCGCCGACGATGTCCCACGTCACGTGCCAATGTCTGGACAATACAACGCTCACAGTACACACGAACAATTAATTATATAACTATCATTATATAATTGGGTACTGTTCATGAGGAAGTTGCGAAAATAGCATTGGGGCATAATGCTCGCGAACAAACGAACTTAGCCAGGTCTGGAGCTGCGGAACAATTCATGGTAGTTGGGTACCAGGGTGGTTCGAGACCGAACTCGGTTGGCGTGCCGCACTCACACCAGTGACTCACACTCAGGACTACCAGTCAGTGACTATTAGTCAGGGGACATCAGAGGTGAACGTTACTTAACGCTGCTCGTCGACGAGTTCTGTCCAATGACTGTTCCACGGACGCTAGACCCCGCGGACAGACCACGTGCAGTGGGAGCGGAGAAAATTGGATTCGACTCGCGGTCTCTTGAAATAGTTTTACTCACCTCACTGGTTGAAAACTGCAGGAGCGTTCTCGCTGTTCCGTTTACGAGCTCTCGCAGAACAATTCCAATCCCTCGAGAACTCTGTTTCTCGACTAAACGGCGGCACTATAAATAGACCCCGACATCCGGCAGTGTCATGCTCTGCTCCCAGAGCCATAGCGAACTCGCACGACATACTTGAACAAATTGCAACAAAATGGCTCCGCTTCGCCTCACCCAGCCACAGGAAGTCTCTTTAACTAGCTGCCGGAGTGCACCTTGACACGGCGGAAGCAATTCCGCCACAAGCGAGGACAGAATATGCTTCGTGTGGATCGTTGTGAAGTTCGGACGATATAGCAGTTAGAATCACATTGAGGAGATATAATGCAGGCATAAAGTGAATGCAAATGATGGTGACGGCTGGTCTGGGTTCAGATAGAATGTCACTAGGAGGTTTAGGTTGGATGTCGTCACGAGCCATTTGCGAGAAACAGCCAAATAAGTGTGAATACCAGAACCGAGATTATTCGCGTGAGTTATGCAGACGCACACAGAAGCAGGAAAGGCATCTTGCCGCATGGAAGACATCAATAGCGTCATTTCTTCCAATGTCCAGTGAGCGAGGCCTCTGGACAGCGAGCACACCCAGCATTCGTAGCATTTAAGGGGCGCGTCCCCAGATCGATAAAACCTTTCCCCGGTCGGGAGAAAGCGGCAGACCGAATAGCCGCACGACTAGGCAGCTGAGCGCGGCCGTATCGTTAGGTTCCGGAGCAGACGTGCAAGTCAGGTGTTGAATGAGAAACATTCCCGACGATAGCTTATCTGGCGGTGACACAGAGCGGAAATATGGGTCAGGAATCGGGGATGGGATGGGCCTCGCTCGACACAACTGAACACCATCCCGATGGACTAAATACGTGGAAAGACAAGCAACGCGTCAAGGTCTCCTTTCCGCACCCTAGCCCTCAAACAGAAAAATGCTGGATGACCTGATTTGCGTCTGATACAAGTCAATGCATCTAACTCCGCTGGCACCTATGGTCATCGCTTCATAGGGCTGCAGGCATCTCAATATTCTGAGACCAGCGGGTGGTCCGCAATTTCAGTGCAGGCTACGACTACGGAAAACACGACCAACTTCAAGAACCTTCGAATAAAACTTCAATTGACTTTATTACATTGCCGCTTGACGTCTTGGAAGATTTGCACTTCCAACGGCGCGAATTACGTACTATGAAAGGGGCGCTTTCCATTCTCAAGCTTGACAACGTTCATTGAAACCAAGTTATCTGCATTTTGTTAACCCCTGACATACAGGGGAGGCTTTCCTTTATGGCATGCCAAGATATAGCCAATCACCTCAACTAAATGCAATCGCACACATTCATATTGTTCAACAATATTTTTCACAGGCATATTCGTGGCGCAAAAGGACGACTGACTTAGATGCTGAGAAAAGAGGAAAAGATGTAGACTAGTACTGTTGCTGCTATTTGGGGCTCGAGATCCCATTTAAATGCATCAGGGGCCCACTTCTCATGTTTTTGAAAGCTTCATGACTTTTTAAACTGCTAAAAAGCACTTAAACCTTCGGCTCCAATAGGAACCTCCACCACCTCCTAGATGTTAGCTAAATTATTTAAAAGGATGCATTGTACGCGACGGGGTTTGACAAACTTTGAAGGCCTGTGGAAGAAGCGAGGAGGTAAGCCTAAGCACATGACTACCATCAATTAAATGCCAACCAGGATGAATAGCCACAAAAAGCTTTGGAGCTTTCCGCCTACAACGAGGGACACGCAAGAGGTTCTTTCCGAAGCCCGTTGTTAAGAGACCAATGGACGTGTTAACTGATCTGTTAAAGGCATTACTTTCACGTGACACACCGCACGACAAAAGATGCTCCAACGAAGCTCGCAGATACCAACTAGTTCACCTGAGCCTGGACGCAGGTGTATTCCGAAGATTAGCAGCGTTGAGAGCAACGACGCCCGCGGCACAAGTTCACAGTCTCTCCATACGCGGCAGCAAACTCGGCCCACCCATCACCGCACCGGCGGGATTCCGCGCTGACCGCACAGCTCGTGCGAGCGCGTGCACAGCACACCTCCCGTGCGAAAGGTACACAACGCATACGTGGTGCGAGCGCGTGCGCAGCACACCTCCCGTGTGAAGGGAACATACCACACACGTGGTGCGAACGGGTGCGTAGCGCCCTTCCCCATGGGGAGGACACCCCACGCACAGGCGGAGTGGTCAATGACCAACTACGCCTTCTTTGTCCGGCACCAGCAAGCGACGGCGCGGCCGGCTCGGGCGAACGCGCCCGCGCCCGCCGAAACCTGCTTCACCGCTCGCATCGCCCCAGTCGCGTCAAGCGAGCAGTGGCAGCCACTCCCTCGCCGGGCACGGGCCGCCGGCGGCCGCGGCGTTCCACGTACTTCGCTCGGCCGGCGCTCTGCTGCCTGGTGTCGCCTCCGCCGGCACCTGTTCCCGCTGGCGGTCCGGGCGGCGGCAGCGAGCGCAGACCGCACTCCGGCCAGCAGCGGACGCTCAGCAGCTGTACAGCGACCGTGTCCGACGGCGGCCAGCACAGCACCCGGCTCAGCCAGCACAGCACCGCCCTGAGCCAGCGGCACACCAGCACCAGCACGGACCAGCCGCCGAACAGCATGCGCGGTGCCGCGGACGCTGCCGCCTCGGCCGCGGCGCCGGCCGCACCGCAAATGTCGCGACCGGGCGGCCGGCGCCGCGGGACGGCAGCGGATGCCTATCAGTGCCGGACGTCGCGCGAGCTTGACCGGACGCGCGCCGCTCTGTTGACACCACCGCGTCAGCCCACACCGCCGGCGGCCGGCGGCAGCGGCGTCACAGTCGACACATTGCGCTCCGCGGCGGCGGCCGGCGCCCCACGACAGGGAGGGCAGCAGGTGACAGGCGGCACAACGTGTCCCGTGAGGACTGACAGCCGGCTCCAAGCGGCTCAGGGGCCCAGTACTGGCCGGCACACGTGCCCACGGGAGTCCGCTGGCGCCTGACACCAGCTGCCCCGAGCAACTGGGCTGCAGGCGACAGGACCGAGCGGTGGCGAGGCCCGGGTCGCAGACCGTGGTCGCGAGGCCCGGGTCACCGACCGCCAGTGACCTGCAGATAGAGCACGCGCCGACAGAGCGGGATAGGCGGAGCGTGGCCGGCCGCGTGCGCGGGCGCAAAGGAGACCCAGATCCTGCCCAGGGCCGCTCGTACATTTCGGTCTCCTCTTTTTAGAGCCTCCGAAGATCCCCTTTTTGCAGGATTCCAACCACCGTTTTGGGCCTGCGCAGTGGCCCTGTGCTCCGACCTCTCGCTTGGGGAACTCCCAGTGGCACTGACAGCCGGCACTCCGACTCAAAGATCGTACCATCGGGCCGCACATTTAAGCGGAATCTTTCTTTTTCCTCTTTCTGGCTTAATTTTCAAGTAGAAGTCGCGTTCTTTTAAGCACAGAGTGCACTCCTTTCAGACCACAGCTTTCAGAGCACATCTCGATAAATCAAATCAAACCTTCCAGACCACACCTTCTACCCCAGCCCTTCACCTGTCGCACCTTTCAGACCACACCTTAATATGTCATACATTTCAGGTCACACCTTAACCTGTCACACGTTTCACACCACACCTCCACCTATCACTCTTTTCAGACCACACCCTCACATGCCACACTTCTAAGACCACACTTTCACCCGCCACACCCTTCAGACAACACCTGCGCGCCCCACCCGTTCGGGATACCGCCCGGACCACCCAACCCATCCTGCCGTTAAGGCCCCCCTCCTCGCCGAACCGCCCTGAGTTAACACATCACGGACCGGGGCTCCTACGAAGCTGAGCGGACGCGACCGCTCCCTGCCGCGGAGATGTCACCGCACCGGGACGGACACGGAGAGCGGGGCGGCGACAGCGGCCCAGCGCAATTACCGCACCGGGACGGACACGGAGAGCGGGGCGGCGACAGCGGTGCAGCGCAATTACCGCACCGGGACGGACGCGGAGAGCGGGGCGGCGACAGCGGCGCAGCGCAGTTATCGCACCGGGACGGACGCGGAGAGCGGGGCGGCGACAGCGGCCCAGCGCAATTACCGCACCGGGACGGACACGGAGAGCGGGGCGGCGACAGCGGTGCAGCGCAGTTATCGCACCGGGACGGACGCGGAGAGCGGGGCGGCGACAGCGGTGCAGCGCAATTACCGCACCGGGACGGACGCGGAGAGCGGGGCGGCGACAGCGGCGCGGTGCAGTTACCGCACCGGGGCGGACGCGGAGAGCGGGGCGGCGACAGCGGCGCGGCGCAGTTACCGCACCGGGGCGGACGCGGAGAGCGGGGCGGCGACAGCGGCGCGGTGCAGTTACCGCACCGGGGCGGACGCGGAGAGCGGGGGCGGCGACAGCGGCGCGGTGCAGTTACCGCACCGGGGCGGACGCGGAGAGCGGGGCGGCGACAGCGGCGCGGTGCAGTTACCGCACCGGGACGGACGCGGAGAGCGGGGCGGCGACAGCGGCCCAGCGCAGTTACCGCACCGACAGGATCAAAGCGCGGGCGGAACGGGCCCCGACAGGCTCCGTCCAGTCAACGGGAGGACAGCGCTGTCGCTCGCCGGTGCTGAGACATCAAAGGCTGCTACGGCGGCCGGTGGGTGGGCCCGTCCTGACGACGGCCGGCGCCGATAGCACGACGGCGGAGACGCGCCAGATTGTTGAGGTCTGACAGAAAGCTCCGATGTGCACATGCTCTGTGACAACCTTTGGAACGGAGGGAGTGCAATGAGATCGAACCAAGAACTAGCATCCAGACGCTCCGTTCAAGCACAAAAATTCCGCTGTCCCAGCACGAGGACATGGGGACGAACGGTTGAAAACATGAAAGGCCTGTGGCTGATAATATCTTCTCTGCCTCACAAGGCTTACTTGTGTGCCGGCTTCCAGACGGGCCAGCTATAATATGAATGCAGGATATAAGAGATGTTTGATATGTGAGAGGCCTCCTCTGAGTAAAATAAGTGTCAAAACGTGTCCGTCGGCAAGTCTGAATCTCAAAACAGGAGGGAGAAGGACGCTCAGCACAACACCTCACATGCTCGGCTACGGCCGAAAGCTTCAAACGCTACGAACCGTCGTCGGAGAGTGCTCTCACGCCAGCAGCAGCTCATTCAACCAGGAGACATTCCACGCACCCAGCAGACAACCTTTCACGCGCCGACACCGCAGCACCTGCCGCAGCGGCAGCGAGGGCGCCACCAGCAGCCCTGTTTATCTCCGCGAGCGTGCTCCACTCCCGAATTAAGCCCGTTCCGCTGCGGCGGCGTACCGGGCACGGCGGCCCTCGAGCCGCCGCCGCGGGCCTGGCCTCGTTACCGCACCTGCTCGCTGCCTGCGGCGGCTAATTGTCTGCAGCCGCCGGGTCACGGAGGCGGTTGATTGTGTCATTAGGTGGCGGTCCGGCCGGGGCGAACGGCGGCACAATCCCGTCGCTGACGAGGGTGGCGCGTCGCAGGACCCCACTGTCGCTGCAGCGGCCGGTTAGCGAGACGGAATAGCGCCGCTGACTCGTAGTCGGCACATAAAGGGACCGCCCTGCCACTCAGCCTCGACAGCAGTCGGTTAACACCGCCAAGCTGACGGGCTGACAGGGCACGATCGTCCTGCCACTCCGGGTACAGCGCCACCGCCCCGCCACTCCGGGTACAGCGCAACCGCCCCGCCACTCCGGATACAGCGCCACCATCCTGCCACTCCGGGTACAGCGCCACCGTCCCGCCACTCCGGGTACAGCGCCACCGCCCCGCCACTCCGGGCACAGCGCAACCGTCCCGCCACTCCGGGTACAGTGCCACCGCACCGCCACTCCGGGTACAGCGCAGCAACCCTACCGAGGGCGCATGACACCGACAGGCCAGACTTGGATTGTGATTGTGATTGTGATTATCGTCGTGTCGCGATCGTAGTCGTGATCGTGATCGTGATCGTGATCGTGATCGTGATTGCGATTGTGATTGTGATTGTGATTATGGTTGTGATTGTGATTGTGATTGTGGTTGTGATTCGTGGGCGTGGTCGTGGGCGTGGTCGTGGTCGTGGTCGTGGTCGTGGTCGTGGTCGTGGTCGTGGTCGTGGTCGTGGTCGTGGTTGTGATCGTGGTCGCGTTGTCCAAGCACGAGTCGGCATCGGTGGCCTTATGCGCTGCCCTCCATTTGCCCTCCAAATGCCAGGGGAGAATCTAATCATCCCGCAGTTCTCTCCAGAGCGCCACATTTCCAGGACGCGAGCCGAATGGCAATGTCGTGTTTTGTTAACCGCGGCTGCTTTTCTACAAAAGAAGAGACGATCACCCCGAAAAATGACACAAATTCGAGCGGAACAGGTCGCATTGTTCACCATCCAGCGCGTCCGCGAACTTCGCACCTGTTCCCGTCGGCAAAACGGACGGGCAGAGCTCTGCGAAACGCTTCCAACAAAGGGAGATCTATTAGGGTGAGGCACGACAGCATCCAGCCTTTTAAGAACTCAGATTTCCGGTCACATGCTTCACACAGACCGGCTGGATGTTGCGGCGACCGGGCCGATAGCCAGCCTATACACGGCGGACACGGAGTGGCGCCATCCACACTGCCAGGCCGCCAGCGCCAGTCGACTGCCGTGGGGATGACTGCGGGCCTTCGCCCAGCTGTAGGTCGGGCATAGGCCCGACCGGCATCACCAGCACGCAACAGGCCGCACCCGCGCGGTGGGGGGCGCACCACACGTCATGTCATCATAAATAAACAGTCAGCGTGCAAGACTGGGGGACAAGGGATGACGACCGAACGGCGTTCGGCAGCGGCGTATGCATCACGTGCGTTCGCCAGGCGCCGAAGATTGGTGGTCGCGCCAGATATTCCTGCCGTGTACGCAAACAGCCGTCCTTGAGCCCGAACACGCAGCGACGTCGCGGACCGTCGGCACACCTATCAGCGTGGACAGGCCGCGCTGACGGGCTGAAGGAGCCACAGTCCGGCCCAGATAGGGTCAGGTCAGGTCATGTCATGTCAGGTCAGGTCAGGTCAGGTCAGGGGAGGGCAGGGCACATCAGCGCGAGAGTGAAAGAGCGTCATGCTGCGGCTCAGTCAGGTCAGGTCAGGTCAGGGCAGGGCAGGTCAGGGCAGGTCAGGTCAGGTCAGGGCAGGGCAGGGCAGGGCAGGGCAGGGCAGATCAGGGCAGGGCAGGGCAGGGCAGGGCAGGGCAGATCAGCGCGGGAGTGAAAGAGCGTCATGCTGCGGCTCAGTCAGGTCAGGAGAATGCGAATTACGCTACGACCCAGGACAGTGTTTCTGGACAGACGGTCTCTACGCCCGTGCGAATGCGTACAATCCTTCAACTTGGTGTTGCTGTAACATTCGCGAAATTCGCATCGGATCCGCGAAACTTCGCTGCAATCGTATTTCAGAGGCGGGAGTGCCATTCTGGCGAGGGTAGGTCACGCGACGAACGTCGGCCATCGACCCGAGCGGCGCCGCGGCGCGGCTCGCCGGGCGCGGCTCGCCGGGCGCGGCGTGGCGATGTCAGGGGCGCCCCGGCTCGCCACGCCCGATCGATGTCAGGGACCGCGCGCGTGGCGGCCGACCTGTTGCCGGCCGGCCCACTGACCTGCTGCGCCGACGGAACGGCAGGTAGGCCGTGTACGCGCACTGTTCCTCGGTTGGGAAGCCGATGTCGACCGAGGTGGAGCGCACCGGCCGGTCGGCCACCTCCAGCAGCAGGCCGGTCTCCAGGCTCTGCGTGTGGCGCGGCGTCAGGCTCGGTTCTGCAGAGGCGCACCGGCGCACCGGCCCGCCGACGGCGCGCTCCGACAGCTCGGGCACCTCCAGCCAGATCTCGGTGTAGTCGCCGATGTCGCTGCTCGAGCCCAGGAACCAGGAGCGCTCGCTGCCGTCGGCAATCGAGTCGCGCGACAGCTGCGACGCCGTGGTGCCGAGCGACACCTGGCGCGAGCTCTGCCGCGACGGCGGCGCCGAGCGGGCCGCCAGCGACGTTTGTCGCGTCGGCGGGTGCGTCACCAGCGAGGTCTGGCGGCTGGGCGGCGCCGACGATACGACCATCGAGCTCTGACGCGGCAGGTAGTGCGGCGGCGGCGGCGGCTCGTCCGAGTAGCCCGAGCTCTGGCGCGAGAAGGACGAATAGAGCGAACTGTTCCAGGAAAGGCAGGACGACTGTCGCGAGTAGGTGGAGCCGACGGAGCGGCCTGAGCTGGCGCCGGCCGACGGCAGAGAGCCCTGGCGCGACGGGCCCTCCCAGTCATCCTCCTCATCGTCCGGGTCGATGTCAGCGCGCTGCAGCGCCTGCTGCCGCTCCAGCTTCGGCGACGGCGAGCGGCAGATGCGCGACGCCGGCTGCGGCGACGCCGACGGCGAGGCGGCCCAGCTCGACGCTGACGCCGACGAGCACGACGAGTGGCGCAGGTCGAGCGACGACGAGGTCGAGTTGCGGCTGAGCGTGACGCGGATGGGGCAGGCGACGCCGCGTGGCGGTTCCGGCGGGCTGCCCGTGCCGCCGCTATCCTGCGAGCTCTCGCCGCCGCCAGCGCGCCGGCCCATCTCCTCCAGGCAGACGCAGTGCCAGCAGGCGTGCGCCGGGTCGCGGCCGCCGCCGCGCTCCGAGAATAGGTAGCGGCGCCGGCGCGTGCGCACCGTCTCTTCGCACTCGTCCAGGCTCTTGCTCTTCTTGGCACCCGACTGCGGCACGCGCAGGAACGAGGTCACCTTGACGCCGCAGGCGGGCGTCTTGTCCGACAACTGCATCTCGTCGAAGCTGGCCGAGCGGATTTGCTTCGGCACCTCCAGGCTGCTCTGCGCCTTCAGCTCGTTGCCGCTGGGCGTCTTGGAGCGCGTGAAGGGGATGCGCAGGCGCTGCATGTCGCGGCCGGTGCCGGGCGGGACCTGGTGTCACGGCGGCGGCCGCCTCAGCTGGCGTCCCCTGTCGGCCGCCGCGCGCTGCAGGCCGGCCATGCCGCCTGGCGGGACGTCGCTATAAGTCGCCGGCCGCCCGAGCTCAGACAGTCACCCGGTCACCAGGATCCCTCCCCCTCCCCAAGGAGGTCAGCAAATCCCGGGGCTACCTCACTCCACGTGTTTTGCACAACAGCACCGCACCTGCTATGCCTATCAGTCTCTGTTCACGGTGGCTTTCCAGAAGGTTTATGTTAAGTGAAGACTGAGATGTTGATGCAGCCAGCAGCGTGGCCCACTGCCCTAGTTCGACCAGCGGTCACGGTGGCCGATGACGCTGACAGGAAGCAATCTAAAAAAAATACTATATGTGTATATTGTGCATGTTAAGGCCAGATCCACTGGACCTGAACATGTAGCCGTTGCAACGGCTGCTGACAGCACTTCGCAACTGTAAAAATGGCCAGGCAGACATAAATATTTGACAAGTGGGTTGTGAATATAGATATAGATATAGATATAGATAATAGGTGAGTTTTTGTGCCCTTGTCAATGTCAATGTGCCCCAGTCAGCGAGTCAGTATCGCCACTTCGGGGCCGGCCGTTGCATCAGTCCCAGACCGGTAACCCAGAGACGATTCATCTTACGTGACACTAACCTCCGCGTGGTGGCGACCGTGTTTAGACATTGGCCCCATTTGGTTGCACATAAACCGTCCGTCATGTCTCGGCCAGCCGCCCGGCGGGCACGGACGGCATGCCGAATCAGCTGACCCCGCAACCGCGAACGTCACCAACCGGCCCCTCGACGACGGGCGCGTGCCGCGCCGTCCGTGCGCCCCAGCCTGGCATCCCCTGAGCGCTGTCCGCAGACGGACGTCGCCTGTGATACGACACAGGCACGCCGCCGCGTGCATACCGACGGGGGCTGGGGCGGGGCGGGGCGGGGCGGGCGGGACGGAGTCGGGCTGCCGGGAGGCGTCCCCCGCCGGTGGGGGCGGACGGGAGACGAGGCGCTGGTGCTACGGCCAGTCACCAAACCGCGCTACGACACCTGTCTCGCCCTACTAAGGTGATACAACTACTCAGGGACATCTCGTCCGGAGTGTAGCTGCGTGGGTACAGCTTTGTTAACGCAATCCTGTTAGTTCTTAATTCATTTCCACCGACATTGTGGTTAAGGTATTATTTTATTGGTCGTTTTAGCTACAACTAAGCCAACTGAATTAGATTAATGACCGACGGCCACATGTTTGATAAGCTATATACGCTGACCACCAGCAGCCCTTTTCAGAAAGTTTCCGTAAATTATGTGGCCGCTGCAGCATTAGCACGGCGGCGTCTTCCCGCATTTATCTTTGTTTACAATTCGCACCCAGCATAACAGGCCATCTGTCGGTGACACCAACAAATGTCTCCACCGTCCCGGCACTGCTTGGCGGCCGGCGTGCCGGAGTGCCTTCTGAAAGCTGATCGATGCTCGGTGTCGCCAGGCCAAAGTGCCTGAGTGCTCCTCCATCGGCTCCCGCTCGCTCCTGCCCAGACAGGTCCGGAGGCCGTCCGTCCGGCCGCGCGGCGCCGTCGAGCCCGCCATCCGCCCTCCGACAGGTCATTGTCATGCCTGCGCTGGCGCGCGGGCGACCTCCTCACCCGGCGACACCGGCCGACCGGCACCGGCCGCCGCCACCGATGCCATAAAGATCGACGGCGACGCGGCCTCCGTCCGTCAGCAGCGGCTCTGTATTCAGCCGGAACACCGCGGCGATCCGAATCACGGCGAGGACGGGGCCGAGCGAGGGCGAGCGCCGAGCGGAGGGAGAGACACGTACACGGCTTTCCCAGGCAGAGGGGCGCGCGCTGTTTTCCAGGTCACAGGGGAATCCAGGATGGGTGAGCTCACTGGAAACGACAGGTTCAAGTGTTTGCCAGTTACTAGGACTGTGAGATGACGCTCTGTCTTTACCCCTCCCGATTTCTCTGCGCTGGTGGCGGCGGGTTTACCCCTCCTCATTCCCACACCCGGAGAGAAACACGGCCTACGCTGAGCACCAGCGTTGACATAGATACAGCAATCAACAACAACGAGCCCCAGCAAACAGCAATAACCCCTGAAGGCAATAATGCTTAGTAATAACACCCGACTCTGCAGATGAGCTGCTCCAACTTCCATTGCTTTACAGATAAAACGGACGGCATGGCATCTTAACAGCCCGGAACAAAATCTGTAACCACAAACTGACGCTGGCGTCTCTCCTCACACGCAGGAATACCGTCAAAGCAGCAGGCCTGCGACATTAACCGTCATGTTCAGGAAGAGTTGACACGTTCCAGGATGAATGTTCCGCATTATTAGTCTGCCAATGTTACGGACTATGGCGTTAGCTGTATCTAAGACGCTCCCAATGGGACTGGCGTTTGTAGCCGGACACGTGGCGCCGAAGCACATGCACACGGACAGGCCGCGTTCGTCGCAGCTCTGGCGGCAGAGCGGCGCAGCTGATCCAACGCGCGGACACGGTCCGAGCTGCGGCCGCCGCTCCAGAGCTCTGAACCGGCCGCATCCAGTGCAAACCGGAGGGCAGACCGCGCCGGTTTACGGCACTGTGGCGAGTAGGACCCTAAGATGGGTGAAAAACGTACCCGCCACGCGCCATGGGGTCGCACAGCACGTCTGAGCGACAGGACTGTGGGCAGCGCAATGCAGCTGCCCTTCAGAAACGTAGAAGGCTAGGGCGCAGGCCCGGGCGCTTGATTCACTCATTAAAGGAATTCGGGATGGCAAAGCTAGGAGTGCCACCCAATAGACGAGTGCCCTTCAGTGGACCTACAGGGGGCTCACTTTAAGAAGGCGGGAACAAGCAGGCCTTTATCTCAGCCGGACACGCATGCCAACAGGAGCGCACCGAGCGCATCACGAGGGAGCGTGCTGAGCGTATCACGAGGGAGCGTGCTGAGCGTATCACGAGGGTGCCCGTCAGACACATACGTATACGTTGGGCGCAAAGATCTCAGCAACAGGACATCATTAATACCCATGAGGCACTCCGGAGGGGCCAGCGCGCCCATTAACTGGCGTGATAGCTGCCGGGCCTGCAGTCGGGCCTCGCGCGACACTGCCCGTGGGACCGGCGGCGGGAGCAGTCTTTCCGCGGGACGGCACACCGCCCCGCATACAGCTCGCGTCCGGCGCGGGCGCTTCGGCGAACGGCTCGTTTCGCAACCGCAGCCGCTCTGCCGATCGTAGTCCGCCCACAATCTGCGGAGGTCATCTGATAACGAGGCCCGGCCACCGAGCAAAGCGCTCCGACAAGCGGCTCGCTCACCGATAAGGGGAGCTAATTTGGACATTGTTGGTTTAATTAGCAACTTTGACAGGCCGGCAGGGGCGCGGCGGATGACAACAGCCGGTGGGGACCAGTCGCCGTTCATCAGGCCTCCAAAGTTGCCGACCGATCGCGGCGATGGGACAGGACCGACATCGCCTTGATCAGGCTAATTCCGGACCGTGCACGGCCCAGTCGACATTGCTGGCCGAGAGGGCACCCGGTCGTCAGAGGAGGTGAAGCCAGACGGGGCGGGAGCGTCCAGCCCGGCAACCGGGCCGCATTCACTTGCGGCACTTGCCGGCCACAAAGGAGGGTGCAGGCTGACGCGGCCGTCGCGTGGGTAGGACGGGCGTGGAGGGCGGGCCGGCCGACCGGTTCAGCCCGCTCACCGGCGCCGGGCCCGTTACACCGATCACTGGCATCCATCTGCACGCCTGCACGAGGGACACGCGCATCTGCACGTGATCAGCGCCCCTGGCGGCCACGGTCGCCAACCTCGATCGCCGCAGGCCGTGACCAGATGTAGGACGGCTGCGTTGGTCAAACTGGCCCGTATGCGCCCGTCG